AAAAAAAAAAAAAAACGTTGTCACTACAGTATCGGAGGGTACTTCACAGTTGAGTTACAGGTCTGTTGTTATCCGTGGCGCGAGATCGCCATCGTTTATCTAATGCTACCACTGGTCTTGGGCAACTCAAGGATCCTTCAGATTTTTCTGAGCCAGTCACTATAGATGTTAAACCCATCTAGATCCCGAGGCGAGTCAGATCGATATCCTTACAGAGCGTTCAGTGATTCGAACGGAGCCATGACAAACTGGGTGGTATATCAAGTACTTAAGTACTACCATTGAAAAGTACTGCACTGCGCAAATGGTACTGCAAGCTGAGTGATATCTGGTTACTTTTTCCAACCTCGTGAAGCGGAGATGATATTTGAATTTTCTGAAATTCATACCCAATTCGCAAAGCTCCTCTGTAAACTATACCATGCAACCCTCAGACAATTGCAACTAATCTGCCAAAAGCACGTGCTGGTTGACTCGATTTATCAGGCAAGACTAATTGATACGAATTCCATTCGTAGGTCTACTTGCCGGCCTTGCACCTGTGTCAGCTACCTTTATCTTGCCATAGAAAATCTCGTAGTCTCGCGACACCTTCTTAGTCAGGTCATCGGTGTTGGCTGCTGTATTCAACAGAATGTTGACGTGCTCCGGTTTTTTGCCTTGGCTGAACCAGGTTTTAAACTGCTCAGAACGCAAACCCACGACCAGATTCTCCGTCCTGTCAACCTTGGTTGCCGCCGCAATCATCTTCGCCAGAGGCACATCGTGATACTTATCTTTTAACAGCGCGAGCATAATTGCGTTCGGATCGTCGTGCGTCTTGGTCACATAGCTGGCCCAGGTGTTTACGACTCGACTCTCAAATAGCCTGCCACCGGTCTTGTCTAGCTTGAGAGTATTGAAGACGCTCTCTGCAGATTTACCAGCGTTCGCCCAGTTCGTTAGCTGAATGTTCTCCAGGTTAGTGGCAAGAGTTTTTGTACTATCGACTTGTTTACCCATTGCAAACATCCTCGCTAGAATGTCGTCACTGTAGTAGGTTCCCAACGTTCTGTACATGGTCACGTCCGGGTGGTTTGGGCTGGTTTTAGTAACGAAATTCGCCCACCTGGAAAACAGCGGACTTGAAAAAATGCTTGTCCCCATTTGGTCAAGTGCCAGAGCTTTGAAAACGGCATTAGGAGATTCTCCACCACGAACCCAGTTTTTCAACTGAATTCTCTCCAGTTGTGCAGCAAGGGCTCGTGTGCTTTCGGCTTGTTTGGCTGCAGCGAACATCTTTGCCAGGGCGGCATCGCTATGATATGTTCCCAGTACCCTGTACATGGCCATCTCCGGGTCGATTGTATCGGATTTAGACATGAAGGTCATCCACCTGTAGAACTGGGGGCTTGAAAAGGTTTTTGATCCCATTTGGTCGAGCGCCAGAACCTTGAAAACGTAGTCAGGGGATTCTTTAGCGTAGAGCCAATTCGTGGTCTGAAGTTTCTCCAGTTTTGTAGCAAGAACGCTCGTGCCGTCGACCTTCTTTGCGGCATCAAGCATCTTGGCCAAAGCTTCGTCGCTGTAGTGATATGCAAGCGTCGAAAAGATTGCCATCTCCGGAGTCTCTTTACTGTTCTTATTGACGTAATTGACCCACTTGGAAAAACTTGGGCTGTTAAACAGTTGGTTCCCCGTCTTGTGGAGTTTAAGCTTCGTGAACATATCATTCGGGGATTTCATTCGGCGTTGTGACCACTTTTGCTGAAGAGTGTGAAGGAGGTTCGCAGCCCAAGACCTCGTGCCACTTGCGGCTTGTCCGACTCCCGAGAGATTAATAGCAAGTCTCCTCTCTTCAACTGGGGCCGTCCGCAAGAAGCGCTGAACAGAGGCATCGTTCCGTTCAGAGTTGATTGCAAGAGGCTGCGACTTGGCTCCCGACGCTGCGGGGGACGCGTTGATGCATGCCAGAAGAATGACAGTAGCCAATACTTTCATGATGGAAAGTCGGATCGTCGAGCTGGGTTTTGTCATCATACAGGAAATCTTAAACGCACAGCCAGTCAGCAAAACTAGGAGTGATCTTCGACGAGGAAATAGACAACTGAGCCGAAATCAACGCCTTCCGTTTTGCTGTGGAGCCAAGATGCTGTAAATACATATGTTGCACCGTCATCATTGTGCACGTACTTCCCACTGTCTGCTCTGAATACAATAACTTTTGGTAGCGTATGTAAGCCTATTATGGTGTACTGTACAGTAATATTACGTGCACTCTATCCATTCAAAACTGAATGCTTCACATGGCATTTGACCCAATTGTTTACGGTCAGGAGTAGCCATGATTGTATGCTGCCCCAATCTGCAAAGCTGAGAATATTGCACGGCAAACTTTGCCGCAAAGCTTTGTAAAAAAAAATTAGTAGTGGACCACGAATCTGCGTTTTTACCATTTTGATAATGGCGGCTTCCAAATTCCACTACCTTAATTGCCGGTTCCTTCTCTAATGGCTGCATGGGTTTTTAAAGTCATCTTCGTTACCAATACGTCCACTGCCTTCTTTCCGAAGAATCCTTCGACCCCATCTTCCCATCACTTTTGCCGCATCATGGAACCGGCTCAAAGTTGAGGCAAACCGAGATCGGTTCCTCCCGCGAAACAATCATGCACGATACACGTATTAAACTATTATAGGGTACTGAAGGAATTTCCATAATATAATACATATGAACTGTTTTCTACTACATGAGAATTGTATTGCTTGCAGTACTTCTTTTTTAAGTTTGTTATTATATCGCCTGCGAACTTACTCTAGTAACGAGCTGCTTGTACTATTGGGCGAGTTAGCTTTCCGCGAGGAAAACACAGCATCAGACAGCATGGATTATGCCACAAAAGCAGCAGTCATCTTGCACACAATCTAGTGAATTTCTAGTAAATGAATGCTACTTTCCGCTATTACCAACTGAGCCCGTAGTCGATGGTATCCGTTTGCGTTAATGGTCCGTTTTCCACTGGTTCGAAAGAGTCCTAAGATCTACACGTAGAATGGATTGCATTCTGTGTATTTTTACTAGTCACGTGCTGGCCACTCACTATCTTCTCCACAGCCGTTTGCGCCGTAGTGAATCTTAAACTGCTGGCCATTTTCATAATTCCTGCTCATTTGATTTGGAGCTCTGAAGAATGATATCTTCGTCGCCACATTTATTATTTTGAACTCAGAAATGGTAGATTTTGGGCTGGTATACCAGGAATCTGTCCAATGCTACTTTACTTTACATACCATAGTATTGTGTGAGTAAAAGCCCACTCATGCCACTCACTTTTTAGTGCACGGATGCTCTCCGATTGGTGCGTACTTGCTTCCTATATGTACTACTGTTTTCGAAGAATGCGAACTTACCGCAAAAGTCAAATAGATGCAGCACGCTCTTCTAATCAAATGTTACATCTTTGTGAAAGGGATTGTGTACGATTTGGAAAAGCTTTGCATAAAATAATCGCTTGATACAAATTTCAAGTTCATTCACTCCTTTGTACTGACAATAAAAATGATGAGGCGTTCGTACACGATCTGCTCGTATTAGTTTTTGGTAGATAAAATGGACAAGTCCTGCACTTATCCGGGAATAGGTATTCCCACCACGGGTAAAATGACTCGACCGGTGTATAATTGCATTTTTAATGCTGAAGGCGACTCTCTCTGCCGTGTATTACGGCGAACACGTAACAACGTAAAAAGTAGGTACTTCCTCCGTTCACAACAACCAGGGACAATTCAGAATGATGGTCAAATCGTCAAGGTCATAGTAAATCCGCTTACCTGGCAGCACCTCACGGTCAATTCGTCGAGAACATCGCGATCGTCCCCTCTGCGGCTAGATTTCGCATTGCATTGGTTAGATACACTATCATCTAAGTCATCGACCTTGTAGCGTTTCCAGATCCTACCGACAAGTTCATATTTACCGACAATACACCTTTAGCCAGCATTTTTGCCGCTTGAGGCCGCTCACCTTGCATACTGGCACCTTAAAGCTGCAGAAAGATGGAATGTCATGTCTTGGCATATGGGCTACTCTATCTAGTGCATGCTTTGGGTGCCGCTACAGTTGCGCGGGCATGGCGTGTCGAAAATAATGGAGAGGTCTGACAGGAGGGTATTGTGGGGTCGACCCTGAGGCGTCTGATCACGTTGGGACTGGATCGCATAGGACTTCTCATCCAAAGGCGGAGAAAACCCAGCAGTACTTTGCTGTCCATGTATACTGCAACTACATGTATTGCCACACAGTATGTGGCTGTAAGTTGTCTCTCTTTCGTACAGTTGAAATGTAGTTTTGTTTCGAAGATGTAAAATCTGCTATTTTTGTGTTTAACCAAAACAAAAACATGCTACTATTTTTATGTTAAGCCCTTTATTTTGTGATGTTAGGTACTTCAGCCCAAGCGTAGCTGGAAAATGGCGAGGCTGACAACGGCTCACGCTCCCGATGGTCCTTGATGCCGACCTCCAGACACTCTCTGCCGGTCACCGACTTCAACGTGCACCAGATCTCTACCTCCTACGTCTCTGCGCCCGTGATCGTGCAGGGTGGAAGGACTTAACAGAGGCGCTAATTGCACACACACCGCTTGACGGACTCTGGCCGAGAGATGAGAGAATCGTAGAGTACGAGAGATAACCCGACGCATGCGGAAGTTGACCCACTACGGTGGCGAGACGGCTCGCGAAACGCGTTTACAATACAATACAAAAGGTAATCTAGTATTTTAGAAAAATGTAACCGCTCCGTCGTTTTTGGAATTCAATTTTTTTAAGAAATATGGAAATAGCAATTATTGGTGATTCATCGACAATAATTATGTCCCGTATTTAGCGGACACTAATATCCAGAAAAATTCTACTGTTAGCGAAGCGTCACACTGGATCTGTCTCCAAGCAAGCATGCGAAAGCGCCCGAACGCCTGCAACATCGCAGTCGCTGCCATTGGCAAGCACGACCGAGTTCAACTTACTCCAAAATCGTCGGTCGGCAAGAACAAAAAGTCCAGTGTATCCATCCCCGCTTTCCTCTTCATCCTGCTGGTTGGCGTTCTGTTGATACAGAACTCGAACGTTGACAATCAATTATCAGAGGAGGAAAAGATTTCTACGTTCTTAAACTGGTTTCGGACGGCTGGTGGCAACGTCAGCAGCAACATCGCAATTAAGATGTTTCCGGAAATGGGCAAAGGTTTGTTCCCTCAATATTTTTTTTATTTGGAATCTGGTGGTGAAACTCAAAGGAAAAATAATGATGTGTAGGTATTGTGGCGTTGCAATCTGTGAAGGAGAACGATGAGCTACTGTTCGTACCGACGAGTATCATTATGTGAGGTATTTATTCTGTTTCTAGCAGACTGAAGTTTTCGCTAATTTCTCTTGTTGTTGTGCAATTTTAGTTGTTACGATACGGTTGCCACAGAGTGGAGCTCACATCCGAAGTTAAAGAAAAATTTAGTGAAATTAGAGAATGATCAAGAAGAGCTGTTGACGGCGTTTTTGGTGTGGGAGCAGGCAAAGGGACAAGCGTCTCCATGGGCTCCGTATTTGCAATTGTTACCATCATTCTCTTCGCGAAATGAAATCGCAACACCGCTCTATTTTGACAGTGAGGAAGATATTGATTCCTTGCAAGATGAACGCATGATTAACGCCGCAAGAATTGAGAGACAGCGAGTAAAGGAAGCGCATGGTCGATTGAAGCGCCTCTTTCGCTCGTTTTTGAGCGATGAAGTCATGGATTTATCACGATATATCTGGGCTCGTTTCTTGGTCAACTCTAGAGCATTTTCGATCCGAGGACAGCGTTTTCTGGTACCATTCGGAGATATTTTCAATGGAAAACCCGATGATGACACTCGCCAACAAGACAACGGACAGCGTTTTCTTCTTTTCCATGATCTTCAGCCCCAAGGCATGACTATCCGAGCTGATCGCGACACGTCGAGTGGAGAGCAGCTCTTTGAAGACTACGGGGACAACAGCAACTACGTTTATTTCCTACACCATGGCTTCCTCATGAGTGATAAAGGATTCGACTGTGCAGCTTTTCGACTTCCAAGGCTCTCAGAAGCTTATCAGGGTGGAGAAATTAAGGAACAAACTGAAATTTTAGCGTCCAAATTGCGCGTTTTGTCGCGTATAAGAGTCGATGACGCCCCTCAGGTGTGTATTTCTCGTACTGGAAAGCTCGAAGATTCTGATTTGGTGCGCATTTACACAGCTCTATACAACATGGATGCTGAACAAGCCGCAGCTTGCAACAATGCTGCAGCGTTTAATGAGTGTTTTCCACCTGATATCACGCCAGATTTTGATACTGAAGCTGGATATCACGAATTATTATTGCTGCTAAATTCTATCACACAACAACTGGAGTATTACCCTACTACTCTTGAGGAGGATCAAACAATACTCGACGAGCTTAAAGATGTCGCGAAATCCGGCATCCAACACGCTGTAGCTTTCCGGTTGAGTCGAAAGCGGATTTTACGTGATGCCAAGAAAAATCTGAAAAAACAGTTGAAAAGTATCGATGAGGAAGCCAAAAATGACGTCAAAGAAGATCTACTGCTCTCCACAACGGTGCTTGAAGACAATGAGGTTGGCAACAAGCTGCAGAGATTTCAGCAATGGATCGCTCGTCATAACTTCCCGGTGAATCATTTGGAGTTGCGATACGTTAACGAAGCCGTAGGATACGGCACTTTTGCACTCAAGTCTATTACTACAAGAGAAGTGTACTTAAAGGTACCCGTAAAAGTCGTCATGAATGTACGATCAGCCGTGAAGTCACGTTGGGTGAGCCAAACTATGCAGGAACTTCGGAAACGTGCCAGTGTCCCACAAGAAGAAATGGTACTGCTACTTCATCTCTTAGAGGAGAAATTCGGTCCAAACCATCTTCAGTCTCGCTGGAAACCATATCTAGACATGTTACCAGATCTAGATGACCATAACAGTGTATTAGGCTCTCCACTCTTCTATGAGGAAGAAGGACAACAACTCAAGGCACTCGAAGGCACCGACCTGTTAACTCTCGTTTCCAACTACCGCAGGCGTGTAGCTCAGTCCTATGCTGTTCTCTTGGATCACTTTAAGCGATCAAATCATGAAGAAACGTTACTGTGGCTCACTGAAAGACGCTTCCGCTGGGCCAACGCCATGCTTGACTCTCGCAGTATTTGGTGGAACAGTCAGCGACATCTCGTGCCACTTCTTGACATGGTGAACTGTCAAGAACTCAACTCAAAGCACAAACCGCACCACACCAGCCTCGATTCATCCGGTCGCCACGCGGTCACCAAGGCATCGTGGGATTTTCAAGCTGGTCAAGAAGTTGTTGAAAATTACGCTCAGCCCAACTACATCTACCTACTCTACCACGGCTTCGTATTGGACTTGAACAGCCACGACTGCGCTCATTTCCATCTCGAGATACCAAATGCAGCACGGCAGCGTGAGTTTTCGGGCTTGTTTCAGGGTCTTGGCATTTACTCGTGGACTCCAGACGTATGTGTGTCACCCACAGACAACCACAGTATCATGAGATTCTCGAAAATTGCGCTTTTGGTTGCGAATCCCACAAAAGCGTTGCAACTTACTGGAAAGGCTGCAAATTCGGATGCAAATGCGGCCATCGCATCGGCTTTAAAGCTTGTGGAGGAACGTATGAATCGCTTCGAATCTACTGAGGAGACTTTGGTAAGTACAGATTTTAGAACCCAATCGATTCTAAAATTCCGACAGCAACAACAGCAACACTTGGCAATTCTTGGCAACAAACTTCAGGCAAGATAAAACGGAAAAGAAATGAAAAAAAAAAAAGTTGCAAAAGATTGTAAAAGTCGAAAAACTCCCATCTTTCGATTGCAATTAACCTTCGAGTTGCAACTCACTACTGGCAAACGGCAAGCAAAGCTGCAAAACTGCAAAACTGCGAGAAAGTGCGTTAACCAGCTCTGAAGCTGCTGGCAAGAGCTGACGCTGCTTAACCACGGAAGGTGCAGGGGCGCGAAGCCTTGAAGACCGTGTTGTGGTGCTTCTCGGCGGCACGCGGCAGGCGGTGCGACAGAGGGAACGAGATCTTGGAGTCGTGGAACTGCTGCACGTTCGTCTTTTGCGTGTCCTTGGCGGCCACGATGGCAGTGCGCATGATCTGGATCGAGCGCGGGCGGGCACGGTGACGGCCGGCAAGCTCAGCGTACATCTGCTCCACGGCCTTGCACAGAGTCACGTCACGGTACTCCTTGTACATGTTGTGGGTGCCGCTGCGCGAGTTGTAGCGGATCCAGATGCCGTAGTTGTTGACGACGCGGCGGTTCTTCTCCGTCAGCTGAAGAATGGTTAAACATAACAACATAGAGGTCAGAATGTATGACTTTCGACAGGATTGTCATCAAGATGCGAGGGCTTCCTCGTCCCGTTGCAGTAGTGGGTTGTTCAGAGTTCTGGGCTTACAGTCAAGTCCCCTCATTTTGGTCCATTCCAAGAGAGCTAAACAACGGATCACACCGCGATCTCACTAGCGACAAAGCGGTTTGCAAGCTGGAGTGGAAAACGGGCATGAGAGGAAACCGACAATCTCTCCACTCTCGTGGCAGGCAAGCGCTTCGAACGACGTCGCTAGGAGGAACGTACAGCACACCAGTCACGGTTGTGCGTACGTAGGACGAGGAGAGGCAGACCACCAATAACGCTGGTGCTAGCCGCCCTCCACCTCTCAATAGTCATGGAGAAATAACTATTGAGAGGATTTTCACTTGACTGGCTGGAGAGGTTCCAGACGCACCTCGTTGATGTCCAGGATCTCGCCCGTGGTCTTCTTCATCTTCTTCATCTGGTGCAGGAAGTACCAGAAGCGCGACTGAGCCAGCACCGGGTTGGGGGCGAACAGCTTCATGCGGTAAGCCGGCGGGTTCGGCTCCTTCTCAGTGGGGGCCTTGCGGCCGACGACTTGGAACTGACGGATCTGTTTGCATTTGGCAACAAGCAAGTCGGTCAGTTTAGATAAACATTTCACATGCTGGCAAAAGAAATTGCCACTTTTTGCCACTTAAACATACCGGCATGGTTTTGCGTGAGGGAGTCTTCCGGGGAATGAGCAAATAGTGGCAACGAACATGGCAATCGATTTTACTGGCGGAGGAGGGCCCGCCATTTTTAGCCAATGTATGGTGGGTTGTTGCTGAAACCCGGGTCACCCGACCCAAACCCGCGTTGAAACAGCTTTTGATTGGATAAAAAACGAAACCCTGTGAAAGTCGATTCTGAAAGGGCGTGCCTCAATAATAAAAATATGTGTGTTTTGTGAATAAAAAAAAAAATGTCTAGTATAAATGTTATTCCTTAATGTGCTTCGGGTCGTACAGTCTCCGAGCTGCACTCCCACCACACGGACTGTTCGTTTTGATGCGCCATCCGCAGTTTGATCTCGCGACACCATTCATTGAATCGCCAGTCGCAGCGCTCGACTTCGAACTCGTATCCTTGTAGATTGCTCATGTTATTTGCGATGAGCCACTGCATCAGCTCCAGCGGAAGACGGATGATGGAATTCCGGTTGAGAGCGAAGCCCTCCGAGCGATGCGTCTTCAGAAACAGCGCCACTTCAAAGTGAGCGCCAAGAATCGCTCGAGTCAAGGCTGCGACTGTGCATCCCTCGTCTCGGTTCTCATGAAGATATTTCACAATAGCGAAGTAGCCATTCGCGGCTGCAGTGTCCATAGCGTCGGTGGTGCAGCCCTCGTTTCGGTTCTCATGTAGCCATTTGACAACCTCAAAGTGTCCGTTCTCAGCCGCCATGTCCATAGCTTTCGTCGTGCATCCCTCACTCCGGTTCTCATGTAGCCATCTCACGACGTCGAGATGTCCTTTGCTTGCTGCTGTATCCATCGCCGCAGGCGTGCAGCCTTCGCTCCTGTTCTTCTGGAGCCACTGGATCACGTGAAGGTACCCATTTTCCGCAGCCGAATCCATGGCTACATGCGTGCATCCCTCGTGTCGATGAGAGTGTAGCCATTTTACGACGTCCAAGTGGCCTTTGCTAGCAGCTCCATTCATCGCAGCATTGGTGCAGCCTTCGCTTCGGCTTTCGTGTAGCCATCTCACGACCTCGAGATGTCCCTCCGTCGCTGCGCCATCCATTGCTTGTTCGGTGCATCCTTCTTCACGGTTGTCATGTAGCCATTTGACGACGTCGAGTTGGCCATACATCGCAGCGCTGTCCATGATAGCAGCGCCCCCGTGCTTGTATCCATTGTCGTGCATCCATTGGATCACGTTCAAATGGCCATTATCTGCTGCATGCCACAACGTGGGTGAAAATGGCACTCGCAGTTCATCGTGTAGCCATTCGACGACCTCGACATGTCCATTCAACGCAGCGACTTGTAATGTGTAGAATCCCGGGCCGCCAATCGACCGAGACCGCAGATATTGCATGAATGACAAGGCTCCATCCTTAGCTGGAAGATCCCAGTCGATCCAGGGTCCGACGATGCCGCAATTGTCAAGGATCCACTTTGCCATTTCCCACTGTTTGTTGGTCTGTGCGCTCCATAGAGCGTCCTCGGCACTAGCACGGCAGTCCTTGAATAGCCACTCAACGACTTCTACGTTGCCTGCCGCAGCCGCAGCTTCCATCACCTTCTTGAGACTGTCTTTACGAGGCACTGCGTTCTCACGAAGCCACTCTACTACTTTTGCTTGGCTGTTTTCTAGTGCTCCACACATCTCGGTAGCGCCCCAGTAGCCGATTTCGCGATGGGTGTCGAACAACCACTGCAGAATATGAAGGTGTCCATTAGCAGCAGCAGCAGCCACTGCCTTGGAGAGAAAGTCGGGGTTGTGGCTCTCAATGAGCCATTTTACGGTCTCTAAATCCCCATTGGCAGCGGCGATCTCCACCGTTCGATTGAACTGATACCGTCGATAGAACGGATCCATCTCCTCAATCGGTTCTCGTGCAGCGACGTACTGCATTAGACGCAAACTGCCCGTGCGTTCGTAGACTTCGTGAGCCTTCTTGCCAGCCGAGAAGGCGTCGAGCAACGCGTTGATGGTAAGCAGCACGTGGGGCATCTCCACGTGGAGACAGTGGCGTCCCAGCACTCGAACTTTCGTGAGGACTGGCAGTTGGCTCATCGTGTTATTGGAGACCATCGTGTCTTGTGCAGAAGCTGGAGAATTGTGTTATGACGGATGAGAAGGACAAGCACCCACCCACAGTGGGAACGTTACTTAGTGGTGGGACGCGTTCATTCCTGAAAGATGATTGGCTAATTCACTTCAACATGTAGCCATGTCGCTACACGTCGACATCAACTTCGAGATGATGCAGTTAAACGTCGTATACCGCGATGATGCAGCTTTATGATAAAAAGTAGCGGTCTTGGCGATCATCACTGCGTATTGCATGTGCTACATGAAGTTCGATAAGAAACATTGGAGTTACCAGCAATTTTTTTTTTTTTTTAAATTTTAATATTTGTGATTGTGACACGACTGAGTCTCAGCACCCAGCATTTATTCTGGAAATTTGCCGACGTTTTGCTTATTCCGCAACGTTCTCGATGCGAAGCGAGACCAGCTCGCAGACCCACCTGCAGACCCGATATGATTCGTTCATTCGCACACGCTGCAGATTGATTTTGGCGCACCATTCATTGAAGCGCCAATCCCATGTTGGCACCTTGAACTCGCATCCGTCGACTTTGTCGGGGTAGTTGCGCAAGGCCCATTCGATAAGCTCAATACTCGAGAACTGCATGAAACGTGTTCCTAAGTACGAAAACTCGTCGGGCCGATGGGTGTGAAGGAATAGCACCACGTCCAAGCGAGATTGCTCCAGAGCTCGCGCTGAGGCGGCAGAGACCGATCCTTCACGGCGATTGCTTAGAAACCATCGTACAACGCGCAAATGGCCGTTACCGGCGGCGTCGCGCAATGCATTCGCAGTGCACCCCTCCGAGCGGTTGACATGTAGCCATTTGACGACATGAAGATGACCGTTCTTGGCGGCGTTGTCCATTGCGTTGTCGAGACAGCCCTCGCTTCGGTTCTCATGCAACCACTTGATGATATCAAGATGGCCACCTAACGCAGCCCAATCCATGGCCCACGTTGTGCAGCCTTCGCTTCTATTGGCATGCAGCCATTTAATGACATCTAGATGGCCATTACGAGCAGCCCAGTCCATTGCGGATGTCGTGCAGCCAACATTTGTGTGTTTATGAAGCCAGTTGACCATTTCTAGATGTCCTTCACGAGCTGCGCCGTCCATCGCAGACGTGGTGCTGTTGGCTTTTAATTTTTCATGCAGGTATCGCACAATGTCGAGTCTGCCGTTGGTTGCTGCATCGTCTAGCAGAACGTCAACGCAGCGGTCAGTTTGGTGGTCAAACAGCCACTTGACGACGTCAAGATGACCACTACGAGCAGCAAAGTCTATCGCTGAACTACTCGTTGGATGGACTCCGTGGTCGTGAAGCCACTTGACAACGTCAAGATGCCCACTACCAGCAGCAAGAGTCAATATCGATCCATGTTCATGAAGCCATTTTACCATGTCGAGATGACCATTTCCTGCTGCATCAGGGGACAACAACACACCAAGTCCGGAATGTAGCCATTTCACGACCGCCAAGTGTCCATGTGACGCTGCCATCAGAAGTGTAAAATGACCCACACGTCCGATCGAGTGAGAATGAAGGAACTGGAGAAATCCCAGTGCTCCGTCCTTAGCTGCCTCGTCCCAACTGACCCATGGCAAGACCAGCTCGCGGTGTTCCAGGATCCATCGACTCGTTTCCCACTGGCGGTTGGTCATTGCGTGCGTCAAGGCACTGTAGACGGAAACACTATGTTCTTCATGGAGCCATTTGACGATATCGAGGTTCCCAACTGCCGCGGCAGTATTCATCACCGTCGGCATGCTATCAGCCCTCGGTTCTGCATGTGTCCGAAGCCAGTTAACCGCTTCTGCGTGGCCGTTCGTCAGCGCTCCACACATCTCGGTGCTGCACCAGTAGCCTCTGTCATGGTGATTCTCATACAGCCACTGCAACACATGCAAATGCCCATTTGATGCCGCTGCTGCTACCGCCTTGGTTAAAAATCCCCCCGGCAGGTACTTTTCCATCAGCCACTTGAGTGATTCCAGATCTCCTCTACCCGCCGCCATCTCCGTGGCAGCATTGAACAGATAGCGACGGTAGAATGCGTTTATCTCGTCGGGATCTTCGTGTGCAGCGACGTGCTGCATCAACCGCACGTCACTGGTCCGTTTGTAGGCCTCAACAATGGTGAGGTCGGCCGAGAAATCATCGAGGAAGTCGTTCACTCGATACACAACGTGCGGTAGGTCTCCGCCCGCCAAGCAGGATCTCACTACGACGCGAGCGCTCGTAAGCACGGGCAAGTCGGTTCTCATCATAGCTGTCTTGATAATTGGCTGCCTACTTCAACTGCGTTTTTTTTTGTGGGTTTATTTTTTATGTTGATTTTGTACATTTTTTTTTTTATTTTTTTCTACAAAGTGTATCCGCATTACGGATTTGTCATACTTTACACAAGTTTTTTTTTTCCTAAAACTTGCGCAAGTGGGTTTACCTCGCCCATGAAAGCCTCACGTTCACTCGCTCCAGCCTCCGCTTTTAACCAGTGAAGAATGTAAAACTTGCCGAGCGCGTAAATTCGAAGGCGGTCACGTCCGAGTTGGTGCCGGTAGTTGGCAAAGAGCCACATGAGAATCTCCAGTTCTCCTGCTGCTGTGGCATTGACGAAAGCCTTCGCAGAGCATCCCTCCATGCGTTCGCAATGAAGGAAGTAAACGACGTCGAAATGACCGCCACTTGTTGCACGATCGATTGCCGCAAAGGTGCAACCTTCCTTTCGATTTTCATGTAGCCATCTCACCACATCAAGATGGCCACCTGAAGCCGCGTTGTCCATAGCTGCAGTTGTGCAACCTTCTTTGCGGAGCTCATGTAGCCATCGCACAACGTCGAGATGTCCTCCAGCGGCGGCGTTATCCATTGCACTAGCGGTACATCCTTCAGTTCTGCGCGTGTCAAGATACTTTAGAATCTCCAAATGTCCGTTAGCCGCTGCAAGGTCCATGGCGTCGGTCGAGCAGCCCTCAGCACGGTGTTCATGTAGCCACTTCACGACTGCCAAGTGACCGTTCTTCGCTGCCAAATTCATTGCTGCAGTCGTGCAGCCCTCGGTCCGATTCTCACTCAGCCACTGTACTACGTCCAGGTGATTGGATCGAGCTGCTCCATCCATCGCTGCAGTGGTGCATCCTTCGATTCTATTGCTGTGTAGCCATTGCACTACATTCAGATAACCATTTGCAGCAGCTCCGTCAATCGCACGCTCAGTACACCCTTCTGTCCTATTTGCATGAAGCCAGTGCACAATATCCAAGTGACCGTGTTTGGCCGCTCCATCCATAGCGTCAATTGTACAGCCTTCTAGCCGATGAAAATGTAGCCATTGCACAACCTCCAAGTGTCCTGCTGTCGCTGCGAGGTTCATAGCGTCACTGGTGCATCCCTCTCGTCGATACTCATGCAACCACTGCACTACATTGAGATGGCCACTCGCTGCCGCCTTATTCATCGCCCCTTGAGTGGCATAGCCCGAGTGGTTCTGTAGCCATTGCAACACGTCTAAATGCCCTCCTGCTGCCGCGTCATCCATTGAAATAGACGACGAACTCGAGCTGAACAAGTTGGTGCGTAGCCATTCGAGCACTTCCAAGTGTCCACGACCTGCTGCCAGCACCGCCGCATAGGGGGACCATTCTCCTCTCACCTCACACAACCACCGGACCATTTCCAAGTCTCCGTTCCTTGCCGCCTCCTCCAGAGTCACAAAGAACATGTGCGTAGGTGGTGGCGCGGTGTGTTCATGTAGCCATTGAGCGACGTGCAGGTGGCCATGTTTACCGGCGAAAAAGAGTTCTCTCGCTCCCCAGAACACCGTGAGCTCTCGTCTACGGCTCTTGTGCAATAGCCACTCGAGTATTTGTAGCTGGCCGTGCTTGGCTGCTTCCTCCACTGCGACGGTGACTCGACAGCCTGGGAACATGTCGACGAGCCACTTGAGCGCCTGTACGTCGCCTCTTGCTGCGGCCGCCGACGCGGCGCGTGTGAATTCCCATTGGCGGTAAAAACCGTCGCGCTGTCGCCTGGATGCGAGTGAATTGCAGGCAGCAGCGGCTGCGCGGTGCACTGCAATGCGTTCTAACAGACGCAGCGACACTCCGTCGCCGTCAGGCGATGCGGCACCTCGCGCACAAGCCGACGCAATGCTCCAGCGCGCCGAATAGTCCAGGAAGCTGCTCACGGCGGCTGCCACGTGCTTGAGCGGAGCGAGTGGAGGCTGCGCGCGACACACTACGGTGGCCGACGTGAGTGGTGGCACCATTGCCATGGCAGTAGTGTCCAAGTCAATCGAGTGTCTTTTGCTAGTTCGACGGAGCGGAGCCGGGCGAGTTTGTTGCGTCCTGTCTGACGAGTTGGCGAATGGGACTGTAAAGGTTTCGCAGTGTGGCTTAGTGTTCTACTCAAAATTGTTGGCACGCTTCTGTGGAAAAATTGCTAATTGTATTTGTAACATAGAATAGATAAGAGTATTGTGGTTTACGGTACTTGTGCATTCGAAATAGAACGGCCGCGAAAAAAAATACTGCAGAACTTTGCTGTATTTTTTTGCGATGTGTGAGCGTGCAACGCATTATTTTGGTTGAAGGTGTCTACAGCTTCGCAACCTGTGAGTCACAACGAGCCATGATGTGGATAAGAATGAAGATCAACATGCCAGGAAACAGCTCGAGATTTGGATTTCGAGCAATTTGTGGTCAACATTTTGTTGATCGAAAAATCCAAGGTACCACTTCAATGTAGCGCAACTTTTTCAAAATGCACCAAGCATATCCTGGCGCGGACTCCATACAGTTTTTCACTTCCTGGATGCCTCGGCAAGGCCCTTGCAGCTTCAGCACGTGGACGGGTGCATCATGTGAGTTTGGCACGTCACTCGTTAAGGCGTCAGTAAGAGTTCCGTACGTTGACCTCGACGTGCTCCATCGCGTCGATCAAGTGAAGCAGCACCGACTCCATCAGGTCGAGGCACAAACGCCACAGGAACGTCTCGTCCGGGAACCAAAAGCTCTTGCGCCTATGAGCGTAGAGGATCAGAACGACGTCGAAGTGGTCAGTTGCCACAGCGGACTGAATGAACAAACGTGGAGTGGCTCTATTGTCGATTTTTCTAAAGTCTCCGCACAACGCGCACGTGACCGTTAGTAGCGGCAGAGTTTTTTTGCGCTGGTGTTTCCAGCCCTCAGTGCGGCTCGCATGTGGCCATTTGCCCATGTCGTGCAGTCTGTTAGCGTGGAACCACACAACGATGTCCTTTAGCGAGAAGATCCGTTGCTGTGGATGAACAACCGATCTTTTTGTATTTATGGATCCACTTCAAGAAGTCCTTCGAGATGCGCTGTCCATCACAATTCTTGCATTTGACGTGTAGATTTTACGTAAGAACTGTACGATATCAGGTCTTCCGACTTTGCTGCGTCATCTATTAGAATGCCACTACACGCTAGGTATGTTTGATGCTCGTGTATCCACCACCTAACGACATGAAGATGACCATTGCGGGCAGAAGCAATCGCTACACTACCCGTTGAGTTGTCGCCATTCAAAATTAATCTGGCATAGTCACGGCCCTCACAGTTTGCGAAGCCACCTCACCACATACTGATGACCATACTGGGCTGCATTCCCCATTGCATTTGATGTCAACTTCGCATCAAGCTCGGCATGCAGCCATTTTACGACCTTTAAGTGACCATTCTCCGCCGCTGACGGAAACGTTAAGTCGCCCACGTATCCAATTGAATGGAAATGAAGGAACTTGACAAGCTCCGGTACTTCGTCCTGTGCTGGCTTATACCAATTGCGCAGCGATCCTGGGGTCGATCCATGTCTGGCGGTGGAACGCTGCTTCGAATAAGGCATTGAAGAGTAAAGCGTTGTGCTCATTGAGGAGCAACTTTACCACTTTTGGCATTGCACGCGCTCTCGGTACCTCATGGATCTGAAGCCACTCGATCACTTTAATATTGTGATTCACCAGTGCTCCACACATCTCCGTGTTATACGATTGTGCTTAACTGTCCATTTGCAGCCACCGTTTTGATCGAATGTTCATCTGGTAGGAAGTTTCCATTTCGGGTAACAACCACCTGAGCGATTCCAGATCTTCTTTACTCACCGTCATCTCGGAGGTAGCACTGAATAGCCAACGACAGTAAAACGCGTCAATTGCGTCGGGATCTTGATGTCCAGCGACGCATTGCATCAACCGCACTACCCGTCCTTTCGTAGACATCAACAGCGGTGCAGTCGACAGAGGAGTCTAGAGAGCCGCTCAGGTGATTTACCACATGCGGCAGATCATCGCCTGGTAAGAAGCTCTGGATCACCAAGTCGATGACAACACAGACGCTGGTGAGCACCGAAAACTCGACTTGTATCCTTCGATCAGTGGGGCAGTCGAAAAAAATGCAACTTAGCCAGTCTGGATAGCAAGGAATTGGCAACATTTCGCTGGATACTCTTCCTCAATGTCATTCCTACCACGTGAGGTTACAATACGACACATGTAGTGCTGGTGGTGCGTGTTCATTGCGTCCAAGTAAGTCGTTCGAGCAGCGCCAGTCGAGTTTGGGCACCTCGAAGTGGCATTCACTGACGTCATCAGCGTAGTTCGCGACTAGCCACTGCTGCAACTCGAGCGGGAGATGTATGGTCGTGTTAGTCGGTAGTTGGAACCTCTCATTGCGATACAGGTGCAGGAAAAGCACCACGTCGAAACGTGAGTTGACAATCGCGTGTTTCATTGCAACTCTCGTACAACCTTCACTGCGGTGAGTGTGGAGCCACTTCACAACGTCCAAATGACCGGCTGCAGCAGCCTTGTCCATCGCGTAGGTAGTGCAACCTTCACTGCGATGGGAATGTAGCCACTTGACGACTTTCAGATGTCCGTATTGTGCAGCTTTGTTCATAGCTGCTGCGGTGCAGCCTTCCGATCTGTTCTCCCCCAGCCATTTTACGATATCGAGATGGCCATTTCGAGCCGCCCAATCCATTGCAGAAGATGTACAGCCTTCACTACGGTTAGAGTGCAACCACCGAACAATGTCGAAGTAGCCATTGCAGGCCGCATTGTTCATTGCTACCGTCGAGCAACCTTCGCTTCGGTTTTCATGCAACCACTTGACAACTTCAAAATGACCTGCACCGGCTGCACCATCCATCGCGACAGTCGTGCAACCTTCGCTTCGGTGCTCGTGCAGCCACTTTACAACGTCGAAATGCCCATTTGCTGCAGCCTCATCCATGGCCTTCTCAGAGCACCCTTCCTTACGATGCTCGTGCAACCATTTAACTACGTCAAGATGCCCACCTCGAGCAGCCCAGTCCATCGCTACAGTACCGCAATTGCCAGACCATCGGGGCTGAAGCCACTGAAGTACGTCAAGTTGACCATTTTCTGCGGCACCGACGAACACTGAGGAATCGCACAAGCTGTTGCTTGTATTAAAGAGCCATTGTACAACACCCAGATACCCGTTCTGGGCTGCCTCTCTCATCGCATCGACGGTAAGCACCACGCCCTCTTCACAGTACAGCCACTGGATGACGTCGAGGTGTCCATTTGCAGCAGCAACCAGAAGAGTGCCAACATCAACAGTTGCCATATCCCGCAAAGCCAAATACGTCAGAAATGGCAATTTGCCATGTTTTGCAGGGAAATACAAATCTAGTTTTACCCCGAACACATCATATCGTTCGATAACCCAGCATGCAATTTCCTCATGGCAACCATTGATGGCAAATTTCAACATGCCAGTTGCATCCAATGCAAACTCATCGCACAGCCACTTCACGATGACCAAGTTCCCGGCCTTCACAGCAGACCGCAACACCTCTTCCCTACACTCTGTTCGTGGCACTGCATGTTCTCGAAGCCATGCAACAACAGTTTCGTGCTTGTTTTCCAGCGCGCCACACATCTCGACGTCTCCAAAGCGAACTCGTTCTCGTTGAGAATCATAGAGCCACTGCAATATCTCGAGGTGGCCGTTGGCAGCTGCTAAGACTGCCACGTTCTCCACTGGCTCCGATGGCAAGTAGCTCTCCATCAGCCACTGGAGTGTTGGTAAGTCTCTGCGACTGGCAGCGAGCGCTGACGTTTGGTTGAGCAGCCATCGCTTGTAGAACGGATCCTGAGTCTCCAGCCTCTCACGAGCCGCGACGTATTGGACACAGCGACGACTTTCGGTGCGTTTGTAGGCCGTGACGATGGTCCAGTCGGCAGAGAAATTGTCCAGTAAAGCGTCGAGACTGCGCGTTACATGGGGAAGCTCAGCGCCGCCTTCACGGAGGCAACAGCGAGCCACTACGCGAGCAGTTTGGAGCAGCGGCAGGGGGAGTTCTCCCATCGTTCAGTGGGATAGACGAAGCATCGACTCGTGACAATCATTCTTGCTCGAAGTTGAAGTGGCCCATGTTGACAAGCAAAGTAGATTTTCATGAAGTCATTCTACAAAATGTTTGTTATGGTGGTCAGTGCTCATACTCTGCCGTGCAAGAAGCTGCAGTAGACTACTACTACAGTTTCTTGCACTACTGCTAGTAGTGCTGACTGCAATCTGTAGATTCACAATGCAGCATACACTGGATTCGTAGGGATGCAGGATGCTTCGATGTCGTTCTTCCACACATTCAAACGCAATCTTTGCTGTGTCACTCGAATCCACATTTAACAACACGCATCGACTCTAGTTTATTTGATTGCGACAGCAAAGTCAACTAGCAAACCTATAAGTTACAATGTACCTCGTGCGCCTACACGTGGTGTTGCTTGCCAATTTCTGCGATCAGGTCTCGCACGTACGTCTCGATGTCTTTTTGCGTAGCCTGTACGGTCTCAAGGACCTCGTCGTGGGAAGCCGCCTCGCGCTCTTCGCCGGGGAAAAGCGCCTTGTTAGTGATAAGCGACAGACCGATGACTTTCAGCCCACAGTGAGCAGCCACGATGACCTCGGGCACTGTGCTCATGCCGACGGCATCACCTCCTACCAGTCGCAAGAAGCGGCACTCAGTCGGCGTCTCGTATGTAGGTCCAGACACGAAGCAGTAGACTCCCTTCCGGATTTTATGAGTTAGACCGAGATTCTCGGCAACTTTGACGGCCAAGTCCTGCAACTTTCTGTCGTAGCAATTCGACAGTGGGGTGAACCGAGCGCCGAAGCGAGAATCGTTAGGACCGATGAGCGGGTGTTGGCCTGACAGTCCAGGCATGTTGAGATGGTCGTTCATGATCATCAGGTCTCCCACGTTAAAGTCCGGGTTCAGACCACCGGCAGCGTTAGTTACCAGTAGATATTTGATGCCTAGTAAGTACATGACGCGAATGGGCAGTGCTGTCTCGCGCATGGCGTAGCCCTCGTAGCAGTGGAAGCGGCCACGCATGCACACGACTCGGATACCGTCCAGGTCTCCGAAGACCAGTTCGCCGGCGTGGCCCTCGACGGTAGAACGAGGGAATTGTGGGATATCCTCGTACTTAATGACCTCCTGGTTCTCCAGACACTTACTGAGTCCTCCCAGGCCAGAGCCACACACGACGCCGATGAGTGGGCGCGTGTCTACTCGTGCCTGGAGGAAGTCGTTGATGATGTCGATGCGCTCTTTGGGGAGCGTCTCGTCGGCCATTTGGCCCGTGGAGAGACGACGTACATGCTGCGTCGAGTTATTCTCCTTGCTGGCAAGCTCGGCGACCGCGCTCACGTTGCTGCTGGTGCGCGGGCTCCCGTCCACGCTGTGGCTATGATGCTGGCGGGTCGCGCGGGTGGGTAGCGGCTGAGGGGAAAGCGGATCGGGCGCCGCATTCTTCAGCGCGGGGCTGGTGGTCGGCGACTCGAGATCGTTCATCATGACTGCGAGAGTTGCGCTTGATGTTGCTAACTGGCGGCGAATTGAGAAATGAGAGCTATCCTACCTGCAGCAACGTCGCACTTGATCCACGTTTGCCGCGTCATGGTTGAACATGTGTGGCACACGAAACGGTGCGAAATTCGCATTCAGCGCTCATTTCGCAAGAATTTGCATTCAGCATTGGCCAGACTGTGTGAAGCGGTGCTGGCGGGACGTATGGCGCCGATGGATTGCCTGGTTGAAGATCTAGGTCACGCGAGCGGTGCTGACACTAACGCGCGCAGTTCGCGGCGGCTGCTTTCTCTCCGAGCTCCTTGTCACAGGCGATATCGCCAGCGTTGAAGCGAAAATGAAGCCAAACTGCACCGCTCGTCTACTGTCGTTGCGTTGACAGGCGGCGCGAAGCAGCAAATGCATTATGCCTGCACTAGCACACTGCATTACTTCTAGAGAGCGCAGTTGTAGCTCTACGAGATGCAGAGGACGGAGAAAGCAGTTGCTGCGGTCGTTCCTGGGTCGGCGTTGGCGAAATTTGCGGCAGACCATGTTGAAGCGCGCGTTTCTTGTGACCTGTTGCGGCATTGCAGTCGCTGCAGCACCAGCATGGATATACACACGCTGCGGTGCTCCCCATTTGCAAAAAGTAATGTACTCAATACAATACTACCCTTTTTTGTATCAAACTCATAGATCTACCTCCACGACACCCTTATGCTCCGAAGCACCAGGCAAGAGTCTGCATCGATGCTCGAGAGAACGAAGCCTTGCGTGGGCATCTTCGTACTCCGGATTAAGCGCCACCAACTCCCGAATATCCTTCAGCGCCATGTGGAAGTCACGTTGCTGCTCGTACGCATCAGCTCGTCGAAGCCTCGCAAACACATTCTTCGGACGACGCTCCAGTACATACGTACAGTCGGCGATCACTGCTGTGAACTCGCCTCGTGTCTGGTTGGCTCGAGACCGGTACAAGTAGCAGTGCATGACCACGTCGTCATCATCAGACTGGGACGCATCGATCGCCTTGGTGTAAAACTTGATGGCATCTTCGTACGAACGCAATTGGAACGCCCTGTACCCTTTCTCCTTGAACCACTCGGTGAGTGGCAGTCCTGCTGCCTTCGCTTCCTCTGCTTCCAGTTGGCTTATAAAGCGAGTGATACCCGCGTGTCGAGGGTCCACTTCTTGTCCGCGATACAGAGTACTCAAGGCCTGGTCGTGTTGACCAGCAGCATGCAACGCCAAGGCGAGACGGTAGTATCCTTCTACCTGTCGGTAGTTGATTCGGATGCATCTAGACGCATCTTCTATCGCCTTCGGGTGGTCTCCACGAGCAGCGTGGGCGATACTGCGATGAAGATACACCCAGTCGTTCTTCGGGTCCAGTTCGAGAGCTTCGGAGTAGCACTCGATGGCAAGAGCAAAGTCCTTCTTCCTTAGTGCATCGTCGCCGTCTTTCTTCTTCAGTTTCGCAGACTCGGACGCCGTCATACGACGCAACACAGTGCCATCTCCTCCTTTCAGTCTGGCTTTGTAAAGCCTCTCAGCTTCGGCTAGAGCGTCGTGGATCTTGGTAAACTTGGGATCTACCTCCGTTCCCTTTCGCAAAGATGCGATCGCTTCCTTGTACTTGCCCAGAGCCTTGAGAGCCAAACCATGACGGAGATATCCCGTTACATCGTACGGATTGTAGCGCATACAGCGGTAGGCGTCGTCCGCTGCTTTCTTGAACATCGATGCCTCCATGTAAGCCAGACTGTAATATTGAGAAAAAAAAATTGGTAAGAAAAATAAATTTCAGTAAAATTTTCATGGTAGCATACCTTCGGTCTCCGTAGTATCCAGCACGTTTGCGATCCAAGGCAATCGCTTCGGTAAACTTGTCGATTGCCAAATGATATTCGCCATCCTCGAGACTCTTGTAGCCTTCACTGCGCTTGAATTTTGCCATTGTGCTCTTTACCTCTTGGACCAGTCGACGGTCTAGAACGAGACTGTCTTCCATTACACCGACACCTCGACATTTCCACAATTGTCTCTTGGCTTCGTCATTCTCCGCGATGATCTCAAGAAGGAATGATGCAGCAAAATCCACTTGTTGAGGAGACGATCGGTGCTTGACTACAGCGAGGAGAATCTTCACAAGTTTAGACTCTACCAAGACTATCACGAAGTCAGGACTGAGCCCAGAAATCGACTGTAACAATTCCAGAGCACACAGAGTGCATGCATCAGAGTAATTCTTCCACACCAGCTCCATGAGAGTCAAAAGTCCCTCTCTTTCCACGATAGTCCACGCAGTTGAGAGCTCGAGATCCTCCTTCATAGTCGCCAATGTCTCCACAAACCGAGCTTCATCGGGTTCATCAGTTCTGAGACTTTCAAGAAGACTGATGACTGGATGAAGCGGTGACGTGGGGTCGTCATCTTCCTCATAGCTGCGCGCTGTCTGGAACTCGGCCGGCACGATCATCAAAGCTTCGTCATCCGTCGAGCTCTCGCCTGTGGTCACACCTTCTGCATCGTCGTCACTCAAGAGAACCGCGCTGTCTTCCTCTGAAATGGCGTCTTTGAAGCTGCCAGTGTCGCTGTCCATTTCTTGCTCAGGCTGATCGTCAGTAGAGCGGTTGCTGATACTTTCAGGAGCAGTAGAAGCCTCAGCACTGTCATCCGTGCTGGTTAATTGATCGTCTGCATGGTCTTCGACAAGCGCGCCATGGAGGGAGCGTACGACTTCACGAGAACGAGGTACCGATGCCTTCGTCTCTTCTTCAGACATCCAGTTATCGCCTGATCCCTCTTCATTTACTGGAGCAGGATCCCATGCGACTGCACCGGAGTATCGTTGTCTTCTAGCCGATACAGAGTCCTTGACTCGGCGACCAGTCTGCTCTACGGTAGACGCGTCACTGGGAGCTGACAAATCCGTCGCAGCAGTGACTCCTTCGATAGTTTTGACTGACGGTGGACTGGCAAGAGGATCAGTAGGCGACACCGGCTCAATGTCACCGTTAGAACTTTGATCTGGACGGGATTCTACGCTTGCTTCATCTCGATTAGAGTCTTCACTGGACAGCCGAGTCAACTTGGCCAGAGCTTCTTGCGCCATGGCCACCAAGTCTTGAGTGCTGCTGCTGCGTGACTCACTACTCGCTTTATCACCCATACCCAGTCGCTTCAGCTCTTGGGACGCAATGTTCAGCAGACTAGACACACAAACCAGTTTCTGCGAAGCCTGTTCCTCAATCTCCACCAAGTCTGCACTACTCCCGTTGCGAGAACGATCCGATATCTCCTTGAGTTCTTGAGAAACTTCGCCCAATGACGTGGACACGTGCTCCACTTTGGCAACTGCTTCGGCTTCCATCGTCTTCAAGTCCGTTGTACTGCTACCTCTAGACCGGCTTTCGTTGCTGAGATGCTGGAGTCTTTGTGATACTTCCTCCAATACATTAGACACTCGATCTACCTTAGAAGCTGCATCAGTCTCAAGCCCTTCTAGATCCTTCGAGCTGCTGTTGCGTGATCGATTGAACACTCGCTTGCCGTAACCCAGTCGCTTGAGCTCTTGTGAAGCTTCACTCAGCGTAATTCGCTGCTTCGGATCGGCTGCACACATCTTCTCAATGAGCGTCCACGCCTGAGCCGAGATGTACTTTGGACGAGAAGGCAGTAGACTCAAATTGCCCTTAAGTGTGCGGATCTTGGCGATATCCAAGCCAGCCCACGGCACAGTACGTGTCAGCGCCTCCAAAATGCACATGCCAAAGGCATACACATCAGTGGCAAACGACGTGGCCGAGGCACTTGAACCGCTTGATACCAAAGCCGAGCCAGTCTCTGATAGAGATCGTAAAGACTCGCGATATGCCACATGCTCTCGTAAACACTCGGGAGCTTGCCATCGAATCAATTCTTCCGCGTCTGCGTCGAATACATCCAGCTGGAAATATTCCGTGAGTCCCGAGTCTCTAGCGTCACACGCCAATGTGTAGAGCCCGAAGTCGGCGATCACAGCTCGCCCTTTCTTATCAACTAGAATGTTGTTGCAGCGTAGACCTCCGTGTACGATACTATGTTGTTCGTGGAGATGTAGTAGGCCACGGCTGGCACCGTAAAGCAGTTGCCATGTCAAGGTCTCCATCTTGCCACTACTCTCTGGCCCAGCACATTGTTTCGCCCGAGTTTCCAGCGCTGCAAGGTAGGATGTAAGACCGCTATAAGTGGTAAAGTCTCGTACCAAAAACGGCGGAGTTGCAGCGTGGGAAGCTCCGCGTACAGTCACGACATTCGGATGTCGAACTCGCGTCCACTTAGAGACTCCACTTCGAGCGAAAAGCTGCTCTACGAACTGATACTGAACGTCAGGGAGCGCCCACAGACACTTGACTGCCACAGTGGACGTTGAGCTACTGAGAGCGCCTTCACTATTGTAGTTGTATCTGTATGCCTCGCCACGATGAAGTGTCGATCCAAATGACCCTCTCGAGTGGCCGATAGTGTGTTCAGTAAGGGAAAAATCCACTTCACACCCAGGTAAAAACCACCTTGGCACACGTCGCAGATGTAAATCACACAAATTGGAGATGCGGCGGTGGGTCATTTTAAGCGTCTCCACCAGTTGGGATGAATGGCCTCTGGGTGGGTCATTGGCTGCGAATTCAGCGACCAATTCTAGTAGCACCAACGCTTGCCGACGTTCACTGGGGAACTCCTTATTGACAAAAGTTGGTGTCGACAATAGCGCCATGAGGGTGTCGTGCAGTGTCTTCTCGTCTTGCAATCGGTTGGATGCAAATTGCTGTTTCCACTCGAGCAGTGAGCTGGTGGCACTAGCCAGAGAATTGTCCACTAGCACCACGTTCAGCTCATGGTGCACTCTTGCCAGTCCGGACAACAGCCGTCGACTGGCTGCAACTTTTGCCACGAGGTTGGGGAGCTTCAAGTGTTGATCCAGCACAGCTTTGAGCTGATTGAGCAGCACGATGAAGTGTGACAGTCGGAAACTCACGGGTAGAGACCCGTGCTTGGCAGCACTGGCGATCCTCAAGAAGGCTTGGTGCAGTCTTGCATGGGCTTGCAAACAGGCTCGAGGTCGGTCCCGCACCTGCTGGCAGAGTCCGAAGATCGAGTGCAGGAAGGCCAACACTTTGTTTGCATTGGGCAGCGTCCGCATAGCCGCCTGGTCCATCGAGTTGAGCGACGATGGCGCTGTAGAAGCCTCGGAGCGAGCCGACGTGGCGGCCGAAATGGCGCGACCTTGGCCCTCGAAGAGCAGCGACGTCATGGCGTCGTCGTCCATCGCGTTGGTTTCCTGGAGGTGGAAAACGCCAACTCCGTTTCGGGCGCTTTCTGCGTCTGGAGCGCGTAGTTAAGAAGTGTGTGTCTCCACCTGGCAGCGACATTGAGGCAGAGAGCGGTGGAACTGTGCCCAGATGCCTCTCATCTGCCCCTGCACGCCCTACATTGACAAGCGCCGAGCTGATTAGGGCAGCTGTACATGGCTACGGACAACTCAAATTCTCTGCCGCGCAAGAGAAACTGATTGCAAATTGCAATTTTTGCTACAATTTGTGCAAATTTGTTGGATGAAAAATAAAAATATGAGAGGAGGAGGAAGCACGTCATGGTTGCTTGGAAGGCTGTGAGGTTACGTCATGGATGAAGCACGCCATGGTTGCCTGGAAGACTGCGAGGTTACGCCATGGTTGAAATATATATATGGACACGGAGCTTCACGAACACTGCGTTCGCCATTTTTCACACTGAATGGCAGCCACGGTAACGGCTTGTACTTCAGTTTTCTGCGCAGCTGCGGATACGTGTATTACTCGCCAAGTGCGCGTTACAACAGTACGTGGACTGCCGTAACTCTCGCAGGTTCCACTCGAATGAAATGCGATGAAGAGCAAACTTGAGGGTTCTTGGAATGCTACTAGCGCTATCGCTTTGAAAACAGCACACCTTTTTAACGAATGCATGGGCAGAATTCAGCTTTGTTTAGAAAAGTATTTCAGAGATACGACGGGTTCTCAAAACAAAAGGTTTTTGATTAATAAACCCTACTCAATGCTATATCGTGGAATATGTGCAATGGCTTCGACGAGCTCGTGAAACTTTGCGGTCAAGAAGTTCTCCATTTTGTTCATTTTGATTATCATTAGCATGGTAAAATCTTGACATCATCAAAGTTGGTATTCGCTCTCTAAAATAGTATTACAAATATTATTAGAAGCTAGTGTAGTCGTCTTGCTCTTCATGTACAATGAACTCAGAATAATAGACTACGAGGAGCACTGTTAACCAGAACACGCTTGTAGTAGCTCTTCACTACAGAAATGTCACTTTTTTTTATAAACTAGACCAGGATCGGTTGGTTAGATTCACGAGGTCTTGATTCTACTAAACTGATCCTCAAACCCGATGGGGTAATAAACCGCAGGCCATTGGTCGCACGATACACTTTTCTTCAGTAAATCCCAGTTCCCCTCGGATGCATCAGACAAGAACAGTGACTGGTTTTCGCGTATTGGCGTGGAGAAATTCTGTTGCTTTCCGACGAAAATGCGCTGTAAATCTGCACAATACGGAGAATTATAAGCTACAATGGGCGACATACCCACTCCATCAGCATTTGCAACCATGGGATCGACCCAATTCCAGAAAAAGGAGATGTTCGTGTTATCCACGCGAAGTTTAAAGGTTGGTGATACATCGTTGATAGCCTCGGGGAGTTCTGAAATGAGTGTACCGCCGACGTGAAGATAACCGGCGTTTCCTTGAATCAGCGTGGCTGGTATAGTTGAAATCGGGTTAAATGCGAACGAGAGATCAAACGGAGCCAATCTCTCCAATGGAGGTGGAACCTCGGTGAAGTTACAGGCCTCGAAGTATACAATAGCATGCTTTGGCCACTTCAGATCGAAGTCTTCGGGTAAAGATCGTAAGTTTGAGATACAGAACTCAATGTCTATCAGCGTTTCAGGTAAACGGTAGGCATGAAGGCCCAACGGAAGTTCCCCATTCGTCATGTTGACACGTGCTAGAAAGAGCATGAGGAGGTTCGGGTGGTTCGCTTCAGAGATGGCAGCGTTTTCTTTCCAGTTCACGATAGTTGAGTTGTAGATTTTTAACACTTTCATTTGCGCAAATTCAGCGAGCTGTGACGGTATCTCAAGACTTGGACAATGGCGGATCACTAAGTAAAAAACGGTTGTCGGATCGAACGAACTCCATTTTACAGCAACCTCACTCTCAGTTCTGTTCAGGCCGGATTCGTAGCAGTCAAGTGTCAAAAGCGAGCACGATGGTAGGGAAGTAAGCCACGGTTTGACTTGCGTCTTACATTGCGGAAGACTAGCAACGGATTCGGCGAATAAATGTAGAATTAAGATTACAGCCCCCCAAACGAAAAATAGTGCTTGGGTCAGTCGGGACTTCTTCGCAACTACAGCCTGTAACATGCCAGTTTTGGGAGCAGGCCGTGTCTTTGTTGAACTCAAAGGCACCACCGCAGCAACTCCATGATCGTCCCATTTACATCTTTCAAGTGTAAATTTTATGCTCAAAAGTTTCTTCATGTTGCTCATGTTAGCAACCATACTCAACGCAAACACTACGCGCATGATTAAGTCTCCCCACGAGGTTATCATTACGAATTTGAACTCGTTTATTGCGTGAACAACCCAGTCGCCTTCGTACCATTTTACTAATGGGAAACCATTCTTCTCAAAGTCGAAATCAGAAGAATAAATGACGAGAATCGTTGCTGTGATGCCGACAGAAGTCACGAGGTCGAGGACACAGTCGCATACAATTGCGCAGAGCCGTCGAGCCGCTGAATCCGTTTGAAAAGTAGAGTGAATGAGTGCTGTGCTCCAGCAGTTAAGAACCAAAAAAACTATGTAGCTCCGATTTAGTTGTGTACGGGTGAGCAACAAACTCATCCTATAAGCCTGGTGAGTCTGAAGAGCAGTCTCCACTACTTCTCTCCACAATAAAACGATGTCGAAATAAGGGCCATCCACACCGATAAGTCCAGATTTCACGAGAGCGGCTTTGTAAGTGCTAGATATCCGATTCGATTCTTTTTCCACCGTTTTCTCGGTAGTACACGTGGAAATGTCATACACCGCTAGGACAAAGTTTCTCTTAATGAGAGACCAACCGGTCATCCAAAGTAGATAACCAAAATGTATCGCAGCCAAACAACCGTGAACAATTGCTATGACGGGGTCATGTTCACCTCGCAGCCCAATGTCGTATAAATCCAGCCACCTGTCCAGCGACGTCCCCGTCAAGTTCCAGTAACACCATGCCATGAATGCGAAGTAGGCGAAACAAAGAGCGTGAAGTAAGATGAAAGCGAGCCAGCTGAGCTTCATAATGAGGGATGCCAGACAACGATATCGCCTGGCTGTCGGTTTCCGACAATCGATGCATTGCTTGGTTGTCGACGACATCTCTCTCTGATGATGAAGTGGACACTCAACCACTAATAATACGTTTGGTGCTGAGGACAGGTGAGACGTTTATTCTGGTGAAATAACGTTCTCGTGCGAGCTACGATATTGACAAGAGTAAGTTTGAACCAAAGATACCTGGTTACTAGGTTTATAGCAGGTCAAGCAGTGGCCACTAGACCCGACTGTTAACCGATAGTGTTACCAGCCATGGCCCAGTTGGCAGCGTCCACGTCGTCCAGGTTGAGGAAGATGCGGTCGGCAGGGATTTTTAACGCTTCAGCGGCCATTGTCGTCAGGGATGCAGCTGTCTTGGGATTGAGGTCAGGCCCAATGCGACCAATGCTGCGGATCTGGATGAAGGCGCACGGCTGCAGCAACGCGGAGAGGAAAAACTTAGTGCTAAAAGATTGAAAAGTTTAGAAGAGGGACGTACGGCGTCGGAAGCCTGAAAGATCATAGGCGTATCCAGATCCAATTGCACCATCACGTACGCCTCAGGCTTTCCCAGAGCCTCCGACAAGGCTTTTGACAGCGCACGCAGCGCTGTGGGGACGTCCACATTGGACTTGGGCACGTTGCTGGTCACGTGGGCGAACGGCATGGTGGTAACACTTTCAAAAGTGAGACTTCGAGCGCTGATCGAAGATTGCGAATGATTTGTGGTACTGGTATACCGGTACAAATCACGTATTGATTCTTTCTCTTCAGTGCGTCGAGCTGTCGCACAAATGCTGATGAAGTTGCGCGTAATGCACATGTATTGACAACGGCGCTGCTTGATGCTACGACACGCATGCTACACTGTATGCGAGAAATGCAGGTCTTTCTATAGGTCTTGCATATTCTTGCCGGTAGCAGATCTTCTGGACGGTAGAGCAGGTTTTTTTTTTTTTACTTGGGCTCCGGGATGAGCACGCCGCCCTTGGCCCAGTTCGAGCGCAGCACGTCGTCGATGTTCATGAAGATGCGGTCCTTGGAAATGTTCAGCTCCTGGCTTACGGTCTCCGTCAGCATGGACGCTGTCTGCAATAGTAATACAGCAATATCAACCGCAGAAACCAAGCACCATCAGCCAATAGATGAAAAACGCAACACAACACTGCTCAGCTGCGTACCGTGGGGTTGTGCTGGGCATCCACCTTTCCAATGCTTCTGACTTGGATCATGGCACACGGCTGCAGCAGCAACGATAGCAGCAACAGTCAGCCCATACGATTAACAAAAAGTGCCAAACAGAGTCACTGAACTCACAGCGTCCGAGGCCTGGAACAGCATAGGCATGTCCAGGTTCAGGTGCACCATCACGACTTGCTCCGACTTATCCAGGGCTGTGGCCAGTGCCTTGGAGATGGCAGCCATGACCTTGACCTTGTCCACGCCTGCGGATGATACGTTGCTCGACACCTGTACGTTCGGCATAGCTCTTGGTGCACGTTCGATTGACGAATGAGGAAATATCCAAAACCAATCTTCAGCATACCGCTCCAAAACCTTTCACGTATCGGTTTTTATTGGGCCAACCGGTTTCAGCCAAGCAGTGCTTACCGTGCCCACCCAAATATTAGTCACGAAACTTGATCTTAGTATGTGGCAGGCCGTCCCCTTAATCAAAACGTTTGGAGGCTGAAGCTGCAGGCGCGGAGACCATCACTCTTGCCCGCATCCTGCGTTCCTGCTAGCTATGGCGGAGGAGGTGGCTCGTTCGAGGCAGTATGCGTACCAGCAGAACTCCAATTTGGTGTTGCAGGCGGACAGTGAGTCGCGTAGACGCCCCGATGAGCCCACGGGCGAGGTAGAATCGTTGGCCGGCAAGATCACCTACCGAATGGGCGACCGCGCGCAGAAGGCCACACCACAAAGCAGCCGCAAGCGCCACGGAGGTGACAAGGACGCGGAATCGAAGCATAAAAAGAAGAAGCGGCGCGGAGACGCGGACGACGCAGGAGAGGGCGTGCTCTTCACGGCGACAGGCGGACTGGCCGCCGCCAAGAGTAATATTCTTAAAGAAAGCTCAGCCTTTGAGTCGGCCGCCTACAGACCCAAGAACCCTGCGAGCCAGGAAGCCTACGAACAGATCTTGGGCGTCGTGGCCCAGCAACTTGGAGCCCAGCCAGGCGAGATCTTGGCCGGCGCAGCGGAAGAAGTACTGGCGATCATAAAGAACGATAACTATAGGGACGACGAGAAGCACAAGGAGGTGCAGAAGCTACTGAAGACCATCCCGACACACACTTTCAGTCAATTGGTGGCTGCAGGAAAGAGGATCACGGACTTTTTCCCGGAGAGCGGCGAGAAGAAGGCAGGAGAGGAGGATGGAGAGGACGCCGCAGCCGTGGAGAGCGATGAAGAAGTGGACAAGGAGATGGGAGTTGCTGTAGTCTTTGACGAGGAAGATGAAGAGGAAGAGTCCGATCTGGACGAAGTGAGAGACGAGGAGGAGGACGACGAAGAGGAGGAGGCTACTGCTACAGGACGGGAAGCCATGAAGATGAAGGACGGATACGACGATGAAGATGACGGAGACTCGAAGTACAGACTGGACGTGCATGCTATCGATGCATTCTGGCTCCAGCGCGAGCTGTCCAAGTTCTACAAGGACGCTGAGATTAGTGCCAAGCTGGCGGAAGATGTGCTGAATATCCTCAAGGAAGCGGGCAGCGATCTCAGTGCTTGTGAAAACAGACTGGTGCTGCTCCTGGACTACGATAAATTCGACTTTATTAAGCTGCTGCTGGAAAACAGAGCGAAGGTGCTCTACTGCACGAGATTGAAACAAGCTCAGAACGATGAAGAGAGGCGCAGCATTGAAGAGGAGATGGTCGCGGACGAGACGCTGAATGACGGCGAAGGAAGGACTATCCTGGAGCAGCTGCGTACGACAGCGTCGGCGGACTCGTGGATGCAGGATCGTATCGGCGCTATGGAGACTACGTCTCGTGCCGAAGCCAACAAGTTGCGTAAGTTGCAGCAGAAGTCTGGCGGGCAGCGCGCACAGGCTCGTGGCGATGAGTCAGACGATGATGTTGACATGGAGGACGTTAGTAGAGATGCTGTGAAGAAAGAAGGAGAAGGTGTGCCAAAGAAGAAGCCGCAGCATTACGTGGATGTAGAGTCGCTCGCCTTCCAGGAGGGTGGCCACCTGATGAGCAATCGCGAATGTCGCCTCCCAGAAGGCACGTGGCGTGCGCAGAAGAAGGGCTATGAAGAAGTTCACGTTCCTGCTGTTCGCACGAAGATAGCTGCGGCTGAAGAGAAGGCGCGCATCAAGATCTCCACGCTTCCTAAGTGGGCGCAGGGCGCGTTCAAGGGCATGGGGTCACTGAACCGCGTGCAATCTAAGATGTTCCCCGCGGCTTTCAAAACGAGCGAGAACTTGCTTCTGTGTGCTCCTACTGGTGCTGGTAAGACGAACGTTGCCATGCTGACGATTCTGCATGAAGTCATGAAGGCTCGTGATCCGGAGACGGGAGAAATCGATCTGAACTCGTTTAAGATTGTGTATGTGGCTCCGATGAAAGCGCTGGTGCAAGAAGTGGTGCTAAATCTCTCCGCCAGACTGTCTAGCGCCTACGGCATCCAAGTGCGAGAGCTGTCGGGTGACCAGAATCTATCTCGAGAGCAGTTGTTCAACACACAGATCATTGTCACAACACCTGAGAAGTGGGATATCATCACACGAAAGTCCGGGGACGACCGGACGTACACTCAGCTCGTGCGCCTGGTGATTATTGATGAAATCCACTTGCTTCACGACACTCGTGGTCCCGTGCTGGAAGCCCTGGTGGCGCGTACGATCCGAAATGTGGAAGCCACGCAGCAGATGGTGCGTCTCGTGGGTCTTTCGGCTACGCTGCCAAACTATGAGGACGTCGCAGCGTTCCTTCGCGTAGACCCCGCTCAGGGATTGTTCTACTTTGATTCCAGTTACCGTCCTGTACCGCTGCAGCAGCAATACATTGGCATAATGGAGAAGAAGGCAGTCAAGCGCTTCGCGTTGATGAACGAAATTTGCTACGAAAAGGTGATGGAGCAGGCAGAGCTGGACAACCAAGTGCTTATATTCGTGCATTCTCGAAAGGAAACTTCGTCGACAGCTCAGGCGTTACGGGACTTGTTTGTAGAGAACGACACTCTTGCCCGTCTAATCAAACCGAATTCGGCGTCCAGCGAAGTGCTTTTACAGGAAGCGGAAAAGATTGAGCGAAATGACGATCTCAAGGACCTTCTGCCGTATGGTTTCGGCATCCACCACGCCGGTATGAAGCGCCAGGACCGTACACTAGTGGAAAATGCGTTTGCTGATGGTCATTTGAAGGTGTTGGTCAGTACGTCGACGCTGGCATGGGGTGTCAATCTGCCGGCACACACGGTGATTATCAAGGGCACGCAGATCTACAACGCTGAAAAGGGTGACTGGTGTGAGCTGAGTCCGTTGGATATCTTGCAGATGCTGGGTCGTGCCGGTCGTGTACAGTTCGACACGCAGGGTGAAGGCATCATTATTACGCAGCACTCACAGTTGACCTACTACTTGTCGTTGATGAATCAGCAGCTCCCGGTTGAATCTCAACTGATGAGTAGACTGGCGGACAACCTGAATGCTGAAATTGTGGTGGGTAGTGTGCAGAATGTGGCGCAAGCAGCGACGTGGCTGGGCTATACGTATTTATTCATTCGCATGCTGCGTAACCCGACGCTCTACGGCATCTCCATCGCTGACCGCAAGGCCGATCCGACGCTGTTACAATACCGTACAGATCTAGTGCACTCGGCTGCTACATTGCTCGCGAAACACAACTTGATCAAGTACGAGAGACGCTCCGGACTGTTCCAGGTGACGGCTCTAGGTCGTGTGGCCAGTCATTACTACATTGCGCACGACTCGATCAGTACGTACAACGAGTATCTGAAGCCTCACATGTCCGATATCGAGATTTTGCGGCTCTTTTCACTTTCGAATGAGTTCAAGTATGTGATTGTCCGATCAGAGGAAAAACTGGAGCTGGTCAAGCTGTTGGAACGTGTGCCAGTGCCCGTGAAGGAGTCTTTGGTGTCCACGGCACCTGGCAGTGTTGCTGCTGGCAGTGGCTCAGCGAAGGTGAACGTTTTGCTGCAAGCTTACATCTCGCGACTGAAGCTGGATGGTTTTGCTCTCTTGGCAGATATGGCGCACATTCACCAATCGGCAGCCCGTATTTTCCGAGCTCTGTTTGAGATTTGCTTGACTCGAGGCTGGGCCTCGCTGGCGGAGCGAATGCTCAGCTTCTGCAAGATGGTGGACAAGCGCATGTGGCTCTCACACTCTCCTCTTCGTCAGTTTGCGCCAGGTATCTCAGAGACCATCCTCAAGCGAATTGAGAAGAAGGACATTTCGTGGGAAAAGTACAATGATCTGGAGCCTGCCGATCTGGGCCAGCTCATTAACAACCCGCAGTATGGCAAGCAGCTCTACAAGATGATTCATCAGTTTCCGAAGCTCGAGCTCTCGGCTCATGTTCAGCCGATTACTCGTTCTATGCTGAAGGTGGACCTGGTTGTGACACCTGATTTCGAATTCACACGTGATGTTCACGGCAACGCTGAGGGGTTTTGGGTGTTTGTAGAGGACGTGGACGGCGAGACGATTCTTCATCACGAATGGCTGCTGATCAAGCGCCGCTTTGCCTCGCAAGAAACGTACCTGAGCTTCACGATGCCGTTGTTCGAGCCCTTGGCACCTCTGTACTACATCAAGGTTATCTCGGACAAGTGGATTCATTGTGAGAGCTCGCTGCCAGTGTCGTTCCACAAACTTATCCTGCCGCAGAAGAATGCGCCTCCGACTGAGCTGCTGGATCTTCAGCCACTTTTCGTTAACAACATTCTCTTGAAACTTGTCGGTGGCAAGAAGAAGACTGCTGAATCGGTGCTCAAATCGTTATCGAACGCTCGAGAAGTACCGAACCCGTGGCGATTTAAACGCTTCAACCCCATCCAGACGCAAGTTCTGCCGCGCGTGCTTGAGTCAGAGAGCAACCTGTTCATTGGATCACCCCCTGGAAGTGGCAAGGGCGTGCTAGCAGAGCTTGCTATCATGAAGACTTTGCTTTCTTTGGGCCAACCTGACCCCAAGAGCGACGAGTTTGGCGAGCACTTGATCGTGTATTTGACTCCTAAGGAGTCGAGTTGCCATCAGAAGTACGGTGACTGGAATGCAAAGTTTGGCGAAGAAAGCTTCTGGCGGCAAAATGTTGTGGAGCTTACTGGCGATTCTACGGCAGATTTGCGTTTGTTGGCCAGTGCGAACATCTTAATTGCGACTCCGACCCAGTGGGACGTACTTTCCCGACGCTGGAAGCAGCGGAAGCGTATCCAGAACGTCAGTTTGTTGCTTTTGGATGAGGCGCATTTCGTGGGTGGCGGCGAGTACGGCCCCACGATTGAGGTCGTGATGTCTCGGATGCGATTCATCGCTGCTGACATGGAGAAGAAGAAGAAAGCAGCTGGTGAGCGTGGCGGGCGAATGCGCATCTTGGCTATGAGCAACTCGATTGCGAACGCTCGCGATGTAGGCGAGTGGCTCGGTGCCAGTGCATCGGAAGGCATTTTCAACTTCCACCCGAATGTTCGTCCTCAACCCCTGGAGATCCGCGTGCAAGGTTTTGAAATTAACGACTTCTCGTCTCGTATGCTGGCGATGGCGAAACCTTTGTACAATACGATCGCGAACCAAGCAGAGAAGAAACCTGCTGTGGTGTTCGTGCCTTCAGCCAAGCAGGCACAACTCAGCGCGATTGACTTGATCACCTTTGCATTGGCTGAGAATGATCCGCAGAAGTTTGTCTCCCACTCTGCCAAGGATAAGGTGGAATTACCGCTGGATGATGCAGCTTTGCTGCACACACTGGAGAACGGTGTAGGTTATTGCACTGATACGATGTCCTCGCGGAATCGTGAGTATGTGCTGAACCGGTTTGCTACAGGAAAGCTCCAGGTGTTGATCGTCCCTCAGTCCATGGCGTGGGAGCTGCAAAGTGCGCAGACCAGTGCGTTCATGGTGGTGATTATGGGCACGCAGTTCTACGACGGCCGAGAGCACCGCTATGTGGACTACCAACTCGCTGACGTGTTTCAGATGACCAAGTTCGCTAACCACGCTGCGTCTCCTGCTGTTAAGTGTGTACTGTTCTGCCACGCTTCCAAGAAGAAATTCTACGCCAAGTTCCTGTACGATCCGCTGCCGGTGGAGTCGCAGCTTGAGCACTTCCTGAGCGATCACATCAACGCTGAGATTGTGACGAAGACTATCGAAAGCAAGCAGGACGCGGTGGATTATCTCACCTGGACGTTCATGTACCGACGCTTCATGAAGAACCCGAACTACTACAACTTGCAAGGTGCTACGAACGTGCATCTATCAGACCACTTGTCCGAATTGGTGGAGACTACTGTGAATGCGTTAGAAGAGTCGCGTTGTATTCAGGTGGTTGAAGAGGAAGAAGACGAAGAGAACGAAGGGGAGGAACGTCTGGTACCGCTAAATCTGGGCATGATCGCTGCATACTACTACATTAAGTACACGACGATCGAGCTGTTTGCATGCAGTCTAAAGGCAGACTCGAAGGTACGCGCGCTTCTGACGATTCTGTCCTCTGCTACCGAGTTCAGCGATCTGCCGAGTCGATATGGCGAAGACAAGAAGCTGGAGGGACTTGCCAAGCACCTCAAGTTCCCGGTGGCTGCTGGAGGAGACTATGGACAGCCACACGTGAAGACGAATGTGCTACTGCAGGTTCATTTCAGCAAGCAGCACGACCGTCTGAGTCCGGCGCTCCGTCAGGATCTCGACTATATTCTACGGCACGCTGTGCGTCTGTTGCACGCTATGGTGGATGTGATTAGTTCCAATGGCTGGCTGAAGCCTGCGTTGGCTGCGATGGACCTGGCGCAAATGGTTGTCCAGGCCCAGTGGAGCAGCGAGTCGCCATTGCTGCAGATCCCGTTCTTCACGAAGGATATGCTCAAGAAATTGGGTGAGATGGAACTGGATGAAGAAGTGGAGACTCCGGTGGACATTTTGAGTATGGAAGACGACGCTCGCAGCAAGTTGTTGCCTCTGGACACGCAGAAGATGTCGGCTGTGGCTAAGTTCTGTAACGCTTTCCCAGATGTGACAGTGCAGACGAAGGTGCAGCAGGACGGCAAGGATTTACCCCAGGGCTCGGCTGTGAGTGTCAAGGTGCAACTAGAGCGTGAAGGTGCTGATGAAGACGAGGAAGAGGATGAGGACAAGGAATTGGGTCTTGTAAACGCTTGCCACTACCCTGTCAAGAAGGCCGAGAACTGGTGGGTTGTTCTGGGTGACGCGAAGAAGAACACGCTGCTGAGTATCAAGCGCGTGCCGTTCGCGAGTGCTCGAGCCAATGTGACGCTGCAGTTCGCCGCTCCGGACGAGCTGGGAGCTCACACTTTCCAGCTTTACGTCATCTGCGACGGCTACGCTGGCTGTGACCTGGAGAACGAGGTCAAAATTACTGTTGTTCAGGGCGAAGATACGGACGAAGAGGAAGACGAGGAATAAGGCAATAAAACATGACGTATCATCACTTTATATCTGTTGCAGGTGTACTCCAAAACCCAAGGTTGGTGGCACAACGGGTTTTAATGTTTCTTTTTTCTCACGTTGTGTAAGTTATCCAAGACTAGAAAGCATTATGGTGCGAGTGTGGTTTCAGTTGGTGGGCAGATTTGGAAGGTCCCTGGGATTGCTGGGTTGTCTACAGTTTCCAGGCAATAGCAACTATATGCACGTTGCTGATGTTTAAGATGCGCTAGTAACACGCAGCAGTTATTACCTCAAAGGTGTAGTTCCCAACGATGTTATTGAGTGTACAAGGATCTGGAGAAGATGGCGGACAAACTCATCTCAAAAGGGTTGACTTTATTGGCGAGTACGGCAAAAATGTAGCGATAACGCTTGTCGTGGAGGTTCCAAAGGTCTGGTTTCGATTGGTGGATTACTTAGGCGCTCCGTTTGACGAACGACCTCAATTTGGGGAACATGAATCGAGCTAAGAACGAGGTCATGCATGACGCTAGCTTCTTGGTGGTAAAGTTCCTGTGGAGTGCAAGAACTATCGAAAGCAGTCTATTTAGCTCGACCATACAAAAAATATTCTTTCTGGAGTTCAAGACCACCCGAATCAGGAACCGGTTGTTGTTCGTCTGGTCATGACTACGAAGATTGACGAAAAGAATTTCGATAACTCTCCGTTTCACGAGGACTATAGGGGGGCTTCATGGGATGCCTGATGAGTTTCGCCTTGCTCATTTCTATCGCATTGGCATTCACAATGGCACTTCGACCAATATCGGGAAAAATGGCGTTACGACCAATTACCCATTAAAGGCATAAAGAACCAATGCCGCGGTAAGAATTGCAAGAATCGGGGAAAACGTACGCGCGTGGACAAGATAGTTATCCTTTTGGAGCGGTGGGAGTCAGACGATGAGTAGTTCTTCTGTTGCAAGCTTGGCCTCTCGAACACAAATAGGATACTACAGTAATCGCTCATCAACCAACATAAAACATCGACGTATCATTCACTTTATATCTTTGTCTTTGCTTGAACGGGAACAGGAGAAGCACCTGGACACGACGTTGACAACTCGGGATCCTCTTCTTCCGTCTCGCTGGCGGCTTTTTGTCTAGGTAAGTGTGGTGCACGGAAGCCACGTGACTTGAGTTTGCGCGCAGCCTCAGCGGACGCGGCATTGAAGAGCCCAGCAGCTTTGAAGACTCCTGCACGCAGTTGTTGCTGACGAGTAGGATGGTGCTTGTTCGTGTCAGCCTCGACACTGTACGCGCTGGCAGCGCTAATAAGACTTGTGGATGTTGCAGCGTCGGAGAAGATGCTGGGTTCTCGATAGATTCCAGCAGGGGCGCTCTTGATCTCTTCACATGCAGGACTGTCCAGATAGCTCTCCTCACTCGTAACTGTGGACGCAGTCGAGCCTGATCGCAGCAGGTGCAATCCGCTGTTCAACTTGCTCTTCGCCTCCTGCAACCGCCTGGTCATCATGGCTGGATTCATACTCACACTCACGCTCAGTCGATGATTCGTAAAGTTCATGCCCGTATGTCTTGATCGTCGCCATTGACTCGCACCAACAGGCTCAGTCTCAGACGCACGACGACGATGCAGCTCTGGTGTGTAGCCCTCGTCATCACTGGAGAAGTCTCCATCATCTTCATCTTCGTTCTGATTCCGGGATTGAGATAATGAGCGCGTACGGGCTTTGAATGTAGCAAGTGACAGCGCACTCGGCATCCCTGCAGACCCTGCTCCTGAACAGGTTCGAGCTTTCTGTCGTCTCCACTGCGCGATCGATGGTACTCTAGGAAGAAGACTCGGTCGAAGTGATGACGCTGCAGTCTGTTGATCTTCCTCCTCGTCGCTGTCACTGATGATGTCGTTATCGAGCATATAGTTTGTCTCTGTAGACTCCGGTTCGTAGGTAGGGAACGGATTTGCTTTAGCTACTGGAGATGACAACACACTGTTTGTGTCGGCGGTCCAGCACGTCTCAGGGTCGAAGGGGGCCACCTCCTCCTCCTCTTCTTCCTCTTCTTCGATCGCTGCTTTAATCTTTTCATCTGTAGGCTCGTGCTCAGGTTCAAAGAATCGCAACTGGCGCACAGGAGACGAGATTGACACTCGTGTCAATGGAGACAGCGTCGCGGTCGTTGAAGGGCGAGGTGATGTGGTCTCGGAGCACGGCGAGATGAGATTCCACTGCGCCTCTCCTGTAGTATCAAGAGGAGTCGGTAGCATGAGCGGTGACGTGCCCTCTTCTTCGTCGCTAGAGGCCTCACTAGCGGCGTCCCACGAGAGCCTCTCCACCAAGTCTAGCTCTATCGCATCGCGCTCCATCGAGAACAAACCGGTCATTAACGCGTCCTGCTCGACTCCTTCCAGCTCGTCTTCGTCTATACTACCGAAAAGTGCGTCCTCCTGCTCAATCTCGTCCACCTCGGCCTCCCAGCCGTCGTCCTGCCAGTCCTTGGCCTCTCTTCCGGCACAGAACGCCATGATCTGCTGCTCTCTACCTGGACCTGATCGCTGGTGTCTGGGGGAACTGCGAATGGCTTCTCAAAAGCCGATGGCCAGACGGGAAACCGTCTCGTCCCTGACGCACTCCTGACTGCTTGGCCTTTCCGTGCCTAGGTGACCGACCACCTGGCACTCGATCCAGGCGAGACCAAGCCGAGACTTGCCCCCTTCTGGCTCAGGCTTATTCTCAACGCTCATGTGCGGCATCTGCTAAGCCACGTGGAGGTGGCGATGCGCATGGCAGCGTTAATTAACGCGTTACTATAGCGTTGAGTCCATTCGACTTGAGGATCTGCACCAATATTGACGAGACCGTCACGAATGTCACGAATGCATGGTGGGCTATCGGCTGCGCGGCGACGGTCGGCACTTGGCTCTGCCAACCATCGCCGCGCGGCACTTTGAATCAGAGTTCGCTGAGTCGTCGATTGAAATGATCACGATTTGCTGTCGCGCCGTCGAGAGTTTCAATCGTGCGATCCCAAGCAGCGACAACCAACGAAGACTGCACCGAAAGCGGTTCACGACGAGCTTTGTCTCCCGGTAGCAGACAAGTCACTCGATCTCGTGGTGAGCACTGCGCACCGAAACTGTTTGTCTTCTGCGAAAGCAGAGCGCACAACAACTCGTACGATAAACTCAGTATGGCTTCCAAATTGGAAGATCTAACCTAGCAATACAGGGCGCTAGGCCAAGGTCGATCGATAGCTGGAGTGGCGACCGTCACAGCCGCGGATCTGGATTCTGTAGCATGTCTTACCCATGCTTGTCAAACGCGTACATGTGCTGCTGTCGTCACGCTGCTAGTCCACCTGGTAGGTTTGGCGGACCGGATTCCGGTGCTGAATTGCCAGCAGCCCAGACATGACTCATGGAGAGCCGCTTCAACGGCGTGTGCAGCAAGTCTACATGTACCCGGTACGTTGCTGCCGTATCTGCGAGCTTTAAAACAATTGCCACGAAGATCACTTCTCAGTGGGGACGTTGATCCCGATCTTCTTAAGCAAAGCTGCCGTGCCTGGTGTGGCTACATGGGATCACATCAAATCACCACGAACAAAATGGTTAATGGTTAGCAAGGCTTAGACTGCAACGTCGATGACACCATAAAAGAGATCATGACACGTACCAGAAACTGGTATGTCAAAGGGCGAGTCTGGACCGTCCAAGTCCAATCTCTCTGCTCGACGTTGTCGCTTAGGTGTTGAGCAACCAGAAAGGGAAGCAGATACCATAGCATCATCGGATGAAGTGAACATTTGATCACGTTTACCGATCTGCGCAATAAAGGTTTTGTCAGACTTGACCCCCTCGTAAACTACATTGATTTATTCGCTGCTTACCTCAAACTCCAAGCGATCCTTGTCAAGTTTGACGGCTTGCTCTTGCAAGAGTCTGCGTTCTTTCTCTAGATTCTGGCGAAGCACAGCCAGCTCATTCTTTTCCTGTGCCACATCCTCCTCGGCAGCTATGCTCGGCGAACTCCTGGCACCAGCTATATCGGTAGCACGCTTTTTCAATCCATGTCGTTCAGCTGCAATACTTTGATGGCTTTTTCCATTACCAACTCTGACGTCAATTGCAGGCGATGATAACGACGCTTGAAGCAGCTGATCTTGCTCCTTGACAATGGCGTGGGCGTCGTCCAGCTTCTGTCGCAATCGTTTGATTACCTCTTTGTCACTTCGAGCCTCTGCGGATGGCAGTTCATTGCGAATGACGTGCTCTAGCTGCTTCAATTTTTCGTCCAAAGCTTCCATCGATGTTGAAATGAACTGGGGAATGCCTTCTTTCGTAGCCATGTTGAACGGAGTCGGGGTAAAGTCGTCGATAGGAGCGCTAGCCAATTTCTCAAGCTCTTCAGCATCGCCCTCCAGGTTTTTTCCTACACAAAAGATAACAAATCATTCGTAAGGGAAGGTATAAAACCACCGCATGACCTTCTAGCGGCAAAGTAACAGGGCTTGCAACATACTGGGCAAGGAAGAGTTGGACTGCCTTCTTGTACTGCGATGTAAGCGATTCCAAGTGGTGCTGCAACGTATCGTAGCTCTTGGCAAGCGCTTCGTTGTCAAGCAGCAGCTCCGCTTTCTTGCGCTCGAGATTATCCATAATTTGCTTGGTAAGCTTGCTCTCCTTCGACTGGTTAGCCATCGCCGCTTGCTTCCGCTCACGCACTCCATTCAATGTCTTCGCTATCGCCATACCCTGAATCATCAGACAACATTTGTTAGAATTCGCACACCTGCAACAACATTTACGAGCTTGGACATACTCGCTTCTCTTTAGCAGCTCGTGTAACTGCATCCTGCAGACTTTTCTTCAGCCGCGCATAGTCGACGTCTTTTCTCCTCAGTTGCGCTTTGTACGCCGTCTCCACACCTTGCAGTCTGCACAAGTATACATTACGTTAGCTTCATTATACCCTCACAATTACTATAACATTGTGTACCTGGCACAGTTTACTTCTAGCGCTTTCTTATCCATCTGCAGCGTCTTCCTTTCAGCCATCAAATTCTTCTCTTTGGCCTTGAATACGTTCTCCTTCTGGGCAAAGTTCTGCTTTAACGTCTCGAGATCTGTCGTCAGAGTCTGCACGATGTGGTTCTTCCTCTCCAGCTGCTTCTCCACTCTGCCCAAGTTCTCGCTCAGTCGATTCTGATGGTCCAGCTCGCGGTCCCTAACGTACAGTAGATAACTCACGAGATCCATGACCTCCCTGACGCCGCTCTCCGCTTTCTTCTGCTCCTCCGTCTGACCCGCCGACCCCACAGCCAGCAACTTCCACACCTTCGCTAGATCTAATGTACAGACTTTGTCTACGTCATCTTCTGCAGCCTTCTCCTTGGCCAAAAACCTCCTTGTGCCATTCTCCGGACCGGAAGAACGAGGTCCCAGCATCGACGACAGCGCCACGACGTGTTGAAGCTGCTCGTTTAAGTAGTTCTGGTTATCTACTAGCGTCTGATTCCTCGGCAGTCGCCACAGACTCGCGGTGGTCGAAGCAGATGCCATGAAATTGCCGATGGTGGACTCAGCACTTGGGTCAAAGATGCTGTTCTCTTTCTCCTCCTCACTAGGAGGATCTTCCGACCGCGGACGCTTAGATCTGTGGAATGACGAGGTGAAATCCAAGGCGTACCCCCCGCTGCTGTGTTCCTCGCGCGCTCGGCTGCGTCGCCCACCGTCCATGCTTGTCGATCAGCAGATGCGGAATACAGCGTTCAAAATGCAATGTGACCATCACTCTGTTTGTTAAGTTCGATGTCACTAAAGCAGGAAAAAATATTATTTGAGTGACTTACACAAATGTAGCCATTCACGAAAAGCAGCGCAAGCCATCCGTGGCAACAAGTTGAAACGAGTCCAAGGCAATCAATGGAGCAGGAGATGCAAACATTCCTACAGCAGCACCAGGCGCAACTGGTAGCGGCACAAGTACCCGAGCGCTTGTGGCCTGTGGCATACTACAAACTCAAGTAGGGATTTTAATGTCATTGCATGTTGTAGCTAGCGAGTATTATAGTTAGTGTATCACACAAGGAGATTCAAGTGCTGACTGGTGATTGGTGACGTCGCTGTCCTCCGACTCGACGACTTGCAGGAACGAGGTGTTTGATGCCGGCAATTATTTCTTCTTGGCTCGCGACGAGGATGGAGACCTTCATGCCGTCGTGCGCGACGATGTGGACTTGACGCCCGTGCAGCCCAACACAGACGAGGCTTTGTTCCTGGTGGACCACGCCTGGACATTCACTGCTGACAAGAATCGCGAGCAGCTGGAGGCCGTTCCACCGCTTCTCGAACGCATGGAGAACCTCATGCAATTGGAGACAACTGACCTCTCTAAAGAGGAGCGCGTGGCTGCTGTGGCCGACCGTGTGTGGCGTTACGCCAACACGTACCGTCTTGGCAACGTCAAACCAGAGGACTCGTCCACGATCTGGTATGTGATGGACGAGGTTGGATCAGCTATTGAGCATGGTGACGACCCCAACGTGCGCATGGCTCCGTTCTACTTCGGTCCGTCGCAGTGCGCCTTCTCCCTCGTTTGGACTGTTCAGCCTATCGAAGGCGGCGACTTCCTGTCGCGTGACTACTTCCCAGAGTATGCAGCAGATGCTGCCATGCATACTGCATTGCTCGCTGCGTTATTCTACGAGCCTGGTAAGGCTGACAGTCCATACGTGGAAGAGCTTCAAGAGGTAGTTAATGGACGCAAACAGCAGTACACACTGGAAAACGCTCGCGCCAAGTTTCACGCCATCGTCAGCCGTGACTCGGAAATGCTCCCGGATCCGGCGACAACCGTCACGTCGGTCCCGCTTCCCACTGTTGTGGCTGGGTCCGACCCCCTTCGTGTGTGCTCTGGTGAGTCTACTCTTTGCTCGATTGTGGTATATTTTCTACGTCAAACTTATCGAATGTTTTCATTACAGACTTGCAACTGGTACACGATAATCTGACCCACCCGCGTTTCACGCTTGTGGACAATGAAGTCGAGGCCCAAGTCGTGTGGTCCACCCGCCACCTCAAGGACTTCCCCAAGTACACTACCAACGAGAACGTTCAGATCATCAACCAGTTTCCGAACGAGAAGATCCTCACCTGCAAAGACCTGCTCTACGAAATGTGCAAGCTGTACGTGGTAATCATTTTAGCACCTTGCAAACATTATTCACTTACACTTATCCACCATATTTGACAGGCAAAATGACGGCATGCAGCCTGAGTGGCTCGCGGAGACGTACAACATGACCAGTGAATTCCCCGAGCTTATTGAGCACTTCATCCGTCGCGATCTGGTAGCCCACGAGAACGGAGACGACGATGACGAGGCAAACCACTGGATCTGCAAGCCTTGGAACATGGCGCGTTCCATTGACACGTGCATCGCGCAGAACGCAGCGCATCTGGCGCGCCTGACCGAAACGGGACCCAAGATCGCGTGCAAGTACATCCACCGCCCGCTGTTGATTGACCAGCGCAAGTTTGACTTCCGTTTCCTAGTGATGGTCAAGTCCACGGAGCCTTTGGAGCTCTATCTGAGTGGTGTGTACTGGCTTCGTATTGCCAACAAGGAGTTCACTATGGACAATTTCCAGGACTTCGAGAAGCACTTCACCGTCATGAATTACTCGGCCTTCGCTGTTCGCATCATGGACAACGCTGAGTTCGTCGAACGGTTCGACAATGAGTACCCGAGCGAGGATTGGTCTACGGTGTACGCCGAGATCTGCTCTACTATCAAGAAGCTGTTCGAGTGCGCCACAGCTCAGCCTCCTCCACTTGGTCTCGGCCGCTGCACGAAGTCACGCGCGCTCTATGGCGTGGACGTGATGCTGTCGTGGGAAGCCGACGAGGAGACTGGCGAGGAACGTCTGCGCCCAATTATCCTGGAGACCAACTTCCAGCCGGATTGCACGCGTGCTTGCAAGTACTTCCCGCAGTTCTACAACGACCTCATGAACGTGCTTGTGCTCGACCGCCCGGACGAGACTGTGCACGGCTGCACGCGTCTTTAAACTCTCGAGTGAGTGAAGAAATACCTGTTGCGAGTCAATTAACCAGGTTATTCTGCAGTTTTGTCGCTCTCACGGCATTATGGCGCATGGAGTTTGTGGCGGATACAGTGGAGTGATCATCAAAGTAAAGTATCAGGTGCACAACATCATGACCGGCGCCACGTACTTGCTGGCTTTTGTTCATTTTTCGTCCAATCGTAGTCGTTTCCAGCTTCAAGTGCTTTTTCATCTGATACGTCAAAACGATTTTCATCCAATCCGATCCTTGTGTGAAACCGCCCTGAAAAGCTCCCCTTCATTCGGCGTATTAGCTTAGTCGAGCGACGTCATGGACGCCCATGTGCTGCGCTACGGCCAAAAGGTGCGGCTAGCGACTCGCTCCGCCTACGTCGAGAACGCCGCCACCTCTCCGTCGGAGCTGGGGATCGGATACTACGAGAAGAATGGACGCCACGGGATCTTGAGCTGCGTGCCGCCGCTAGGCCCCAAGCTCCAGCAGCTCTTCACAGAAGACGAATTCCTGGTGCTACATCCTAGTGGCCAACGCTCTCAAGGAGAAAATGTGCTCTACGGAGAGCCACTGGTACTCATAAACCAGCACGGGATGGTCTGGAACAACAAAACGGGCGGTATCACGGGTTACGTGGGCCCCAGACCTCGTGGTGTACCTGGTGAGATGTACGTGTGCTTTACAAAGATCCCAGCGGGCGTCGGTGTGACCAAAAACAAGAAAGACAAAGGAGATAAATTGGACAAATTGACGTCTTCTACGTCCACGCTGTCAGCGTCGGGGAGTTTGTCCATGTCGGAGAATCCCGAGACGGAGACTGGGCCAGTGTGCTTTGGCGACGCTAATGTGGCCATTACAGTGGTGGAGTCCAACCGCCACTCGCAGATGTTCAACAAGAGACTCAGCAACTTTAAGAAGCCCACGAGTAAAATTGCCGGTGGATACATTTGCTGCGATGGCAAGGGTACAGAGCTGAGGTTCGCCATCTGGCCGGCCAAGCCTAAGATCGAGCAGATTTCCATGCTGAACAAGCTCATTACTCCATACAATTACGGCCAGAAGATCGCACTACCACTGGGGCTATTGGAGAGCACCGCCAGAAGGACAAATACCGGAAATACCGGTTGTAAGAAGGCGGTAGCGGAGATTTTCTTCCAGTTATCGAACGGAGGGGAAGCTGTACTGCCTGGTACGTTGCTGCAGCAGAAAATACTGGCACATGCCAAGCCTCAAGGGCCTGATGGAGACGAACCCGAGTCAGTTTTTGAGCTGCCATTAAGAAACGGACCTGGAGAGCTGGTGGTGAGACTTACCGGTATTGCACCGCGCAAGATGATGAGAAAACTTGCCACGAAGAACGAGAAACACCCTTCAGCTCCTCAGATTAAGCGTGGCATGGCAGTCTTCTATCGTGTATCGGACTTGCTACGTCGCGTGCCTGTGCCGATCTTTGCACTGTTCTACGCAGTGCTGACTCATCACCTTTGGGGCGCCCTTAACACTATGGAGGATGGTCTACGTCGCGAGCTTGTGGTACTGGTACTGGTGATGCTTCCTGCTTTCTACGTCGCAGTTAAAGTGGATCACCCGTTCTCGTCGCTCTTCCAGCCTCCAGTATTCGAGCCAGAAGTTGACGACACAGAGTATTCAAGCCCTACCGCCAGCGGTACACTGAAGCTCATCGTGACTGAGTACCGCTTTGTTCCTGGGGCCCAAAAGGCCAGCGCCAACGGAAGCGTTCGCCGTTCAAGTTCATCTCAACCACCAACAGCTAACGGATCAGCAGCTGCACACTCCGTTACAGCATTAGAAGCCACTGGCTCTGTCCCCAAGAGGTTTATCCTTGCTGAAAAGGGAGATGAAGTTAAGGCATTGGAACGATACAATGAAACGACCCAGTGGCGGCGCGAAGAAGGCGTGGATCAGCTCCTTGAGGAGCCCAGTCCGCATTTCAAGATCATCAAGGAGAATTACCCGCACTACTACCACAAACGCGGCAAGAATGGCGAGCCAGTGTACTACGAGAAGCCAGGAAAAATCAACCTGAAGGCACTTAAGAGTGCGGGTCTTACACTGGACGATCTGATGCACAACTATCTCATGATCACGGAATTCCTATGGCAAGTGATCGAGCAGGATGACAACCGTAAAGGTATATCGGTATTGGATGTGGATGGGATCGGTATCTCGGACTTTGCCGGTGAAGCTGTCGAGTATGTTCGTAAGGCTGCTTCAGTGTCGGGTAAGCACTACCCGGAGCGCTGTGCCTACATCTTCGTGATCAACGTGCCGTCCTGGTTTAGTATGATCTGGAACACAGTGAAAGGTATGGTGGACGATGTGACTCGAGAGAAGGTGATCATTGTTCGTGGTAAGAAGAAAATCCTCGAGGCTTTGTCGGAGCGCATCCCAGTGGAGAACATCCCTGTTGAATACGGTGGAGAGAGCGATGGTAAGTCTCCGGAAGAGGATCTGTTGTTCAATCTCATGGCTTACGTGAACAACGACGAGGACGCTCCAGCATCCAACCCCATTGAAGAGATTCTCAGGAAGAAGCCCATCAAGCACTGACATGACGGCTTGCACTGTGTGTCGCCATTTTAAACAAAACAAATAAACAGCTAGGATTCAACGCGTTCACTTGCCTTGTCTTCCAGTTCTCCGTCATCGTCCATGTCCTCGTCTTCATAGACACGAGAGCGACCAGCGCTGTCGTTTTCTTCTTCTTCCTCCTCCAAGTCTTCTTCCTCGTCGTCCTCTCCTTTTTCTTCTGTTCCTGCCGACAGCTTCCCTACGTTGGATCCAGCATTGCGCTCTTGAATAAGAGATCGCTCAAAGGCCAGCTCCTCGTCTTCTGCTTCAGCATCCACACTGGAGACACCATTGGTTCCAGCGTTGGATTTCTTACTCGTCGATCGACCAGCCAGCTCCTCTGCGTAGTCACTGAGTGCCTGCTTCTTCAATGCGTCCAGACGCTTGCGTCTTGTATCGAGTTCGGCCTTGGAGCGGCCCACCATTGCTGCTATACGCAACCTGATGATCTCACGTAATGGCAGGAACATTTGCGTCGGATACCATCCACCGAGTAGGGAGGGTGTCGCCTGTTTTGTGAACTGAGCTGTCCATTCCCGCACCTCGTCGTCGTCTATTTCATCAAGCTGGAACAAGACATTCGGGCTGGCCAACAGTACTCCAAAGATCTCGTAGATCTTGTCACTGTTTCCTGCTGCTACAGCTGACATCGTGCCATTATTATCAGCACTATCTTGCGCTCCATCGGACTCCTTGTCCTCCTGCTCGTCTTCTGAATCCCAGTCGTTCCCTGAATTAACAGTCGATGACGTGGGACTTGCACGAGGAGGCGAGCCAACCGCGGAGGTAGTAGATCCAGGCATCGTAGGCTCCACAAGGTAAGAGCGTCGCGTCTCGCCTCGAGTAAACCGCTCCTTGCGACGACGTTTAGCGGCCTGTGCGTTCTCAAGTGCTGATGTCTGCGTGACTTTAACGATCCGTGGACCTTTGACGTGGCCGCCTTCTCCATTCGCGTTTCCTGAGCTGGCACCGACGAACTTCTTGATACGTTTCCTGGTTGCATGTGTCACTTTTGAATGCACAAGCTCACGGTTGTTTCGCAGTTCGACGACCTGATAACGCGACGCTGTCTCGGATTCTTCAGGTAAACGTGGGTCGTACCCCATTTTAATCCACGAACCTCTCCAAGGGCCATCGACAAACACATAGCAAAACTTCCGCAGCAATCGTCGAGCTGCTCGACGTTCAATTGCGTCCAGTCCGTCGAACAGCTTCGATCGTAGCCACACTGGTTTCTGCTCTAATTTTCCTTGTAATATTTCCATCACACGTGCATCCACACCGTTATCGTCCACTCCAACCGATCTCCTTCGCACCACAGGCCGTTCAGGCTTAGGTCCAACGGGTGCTGGTGTGTCGTCGTGGAAGTTTAGATACGTCATGGTGCTGGACGTCTTCTTCGTGCTTCTAGTCGGTTGGTATCCTGATCGCTGCCTGAACTCGTACTTGAGTGGCAAGTCCACCTTGGAGAATACCTCAGGGATCAGTTCCAGCTGCGTCTCGTTCTCCACTGCCAAGTACGGTCGTAAACAGTCCTGTAGTTCTCTCTGACGCATCGACGGAGTGGACAACGGACCGTTCTCCACTACTGCACTATTCATCACTGCTGTCTCCACTGCGTCTGTCGCATTGGCCACGACTGTAAGCGCGTCTTTGTCCGGTTTTAACGTGGGGTAGAATGATCGCGCCGTGAAGTACTGGAAGTCGGCCATGCCTTCACACACGTACTTCTCTTTTACGAGTCCAGCCACCTCCGCTTTAATCCTGTAGCCATCAGCAGTACTTGCTTCTGTATCGTTGCTCTCCTCCTTCGCCTCCTCTTCTCTCCGCTTCCGCTTTGAGCGCTTCACTCGCAGCAAAATCATTTGCGTCTTGGTTAAATCTGCGAAGAGAGGTTTGCACGATGGTTCTGATGGTCGAAGCTTCACTGGTAGAAATTGGCTCTTTGTCTCGTGTGCCTGTTGCAGATTCGCCAGCCCGTTCACCGTCTCCAGTACTTTATTCATGTCGGAGCCGTATACGGGCAGCTCCAGTCCTACTAGCGGACGAACGCCATCACTGTGTAAGCTAAGCTCGTGGCGGATGGTGTCTGAGCGTCTCGACTCGCTGGTGACTGAAGCAGAGGTGCTGAAGGTATCTGTAGGCGACGCATCGGGCACCGCAATGTCGTCGTCTTTGGGCTGCTCGTCGGCCATAGCTTTTGATCGTTGAAAATGGTGAATTTGTGGACTTTCAGAATTAATATTGTTATAATTGAAGCTTTTACGTTTAATCTAGCAAACATTAAAAAATCACAAAATACGAAAAAAGAAAACACACGTAAATAAAATAAATACTTGTGAATAAATTATTTACGTACACGACGAAGTACCCCATAAAAAACATTAAACGAGCAAAGGAAGCCGTCCCTAACTACATGAAACCTATGAACATGGATCTCTTTGTCCGCAGCTTGCTGGATCTCTTTAGGAGGAATGAATCCACTCGCCGCTGCAACGTCTTGAACAGATGGGATATCGATGGCTAGAAGTCTTGGAACTCGTCTGCTCGACCGATTGGACAGGAGCAGTCGTCGCGTCGAACGCGCTTGACAAGATCGCCCGATTGAAGCTTGAGGGAAGCCACGGGCGCGTTCGTGAAGTCGTCGTCGAAATTGTCGGTGCAGTCGCAGCCATGGCACACAGGTACAATGGGAGGCGTCACTTGGCGCTGGACGAGCTCGTCCCAATTGAGTGACAGCGTGAAGAACGGGTGCTCCATGGCCTGTGCTGCTGTAAGCCGGCTAGCAGGGTTCACGCACAGCAAGCCCTTGAGTAGTGACATTGCATGGCCCGAAAGATAGGGAGGATACCATACACGTCCTTGCTGGATAAGCCGGAAAAGGCGGTGCATATCGTCGCATTGGAATGGAGGGGAACCCGTCAGCAGCTCGTAGATGAAGCAGCCGAAAGACCACATGTCCGTCTCCATACCGTGGCCGTTCTTCTTGACCATCTCGGGTGACAAGTATTCGGGTGAACCGCAGAATGAGTAGGTGCGTTGACCAGGACCCATGTCCTGCTTGGCAAAGCCAAAGTCAGCCAGCTTAACGTGCCCCTGAGCGTCGAGTAGAACATTCTCTGGCTTAAGATCGCGGTACACGACGCCGTTGGAGTGTAGCTCACTCAGTGCTGCGAGCACTTCAGCAGCGTAGAACCGAGTGGTGTTCTCGTCGAATTTCTGCGAGAATTGCTGCTGCAAGTGGAAGAAGAGCTCACCTCCTTGGCAGTACTCGAGCACGAAGTTAAGGTCGCGATCGGTTTGAAAAGAAGAGTAGAGTTTGACGATGAACGGGTGGCCACCCAGTTTCTCAAGCACCTTCTTCTCCGCGAGCGTGTGAACCACTTGTTTGCGTTGCACTAACTTGCTCTTGTCCAATGTCTTGACCACGTACATGCTTTGTGTCTCGCTGTGACGGGCCAGGGCCACTTGACGCGCAAAGGTGCCTCGACCAATGACCTTGAGCAGCTTGAGCTGGTGCGGGTCGATGGCAGCCACGGACTCGTTCTTAGGGCTTACGGATCCGCCGCCGCCACCACCGGCTGTCGGCCTGGGGGTCGTGAGGTCTTCGGCCGATACGTCGGGCACCTCATCTAGCGGCCGCGGGGGAGACAGTGGACGCTTCTTGGCGGAGCTATTGGCGTGCGACTCGCTTGTTGTCTGCACGCTAAGCGACGCAGGAGACAGCACCGCCGCCATGCTGCTCGATGGATCGAAGCGGTTACGGTGCGATAATTGTGACGGGGAGAGTGGCGAAGCGTGTGGCTGCTCGGATGGTCTTCGCTCGTAGATTGACTTGCGCTCTGCTGGTCTAGAGCAATTGTGTCGTGGCTCTTGGTCTGTGTATATGAGCCTTTTCTATGGCATCGCGAACCCAGCGGGAAAGACGTTTGGCGGTACTGTACATTTTATCTGACGGTTTCTATGCTTACGATAACACGTCGTCTGCTCTTTGAACACGCGGGAGCTCGGACGATTGGCTGCCCAGAGGGACGCAGACCATAATGAAAGCAAGTCAAAGTGTTTCTTTTTATTTGGTCATTTTGAATGGACGAATGGTAGAGCAGACACGACCCGCGAGACGAATTTATTGGCAGAAAACAGACAGTAATACCGGTGTTTTGGAGGATATTATGACCAATCGTGTACGACAACAGCGAAACGTCGCGCCGTTGAAGTTCACTTCAATACGTGTGGCGCACACCAGCCAGCCTGCCATCAGCAGGGTTTCCAACTCTAACGAGATGAGCATATCAAGAGCAAGTGACGAAGACAGTTCTTTAGGCTTTACCAAGGAGTGAATAACTCAAGAATCGCTTTTCAATTCCCCATGACAGTTGCTTTTCCACGACATTTTGCTTCGTTATGCTCCTTATACGGGGTTCTATTGGTGAAAATGAGCCTAATTGTATCGAATCAGTTTCGAATTTAAGGTAAAGGTGTGTAATATTATCCAATTAAACAGTGGTTCCCACTGTCACCGCTGACGAGCTCTCGTTGACTTGCCTGGATCTCACTGAAACTGCCAACGGCTACCTGTGCTCTGGAATCCAGTATGTATACAACAAAGTCGCATGGACTCTATGATGGAGAGGTGAACCGACGGAGTGGTTATTATTCAAAGCTCGTGATCTAGTGATTGGCCGATATATCCTCGAGGCAGATGCAGGTGGAACCTAGCAATTAATAGCAAGTGGTTGGAAGTGGCAATTTGAGATTTTCAAATATATTTTTTTTTTACCTAGAACCCAACATGTAACACTACACGATTTGACCGATTTCACCGCTTCATTTGCGGCTGATTCGGCCCGTGAGCAACGTACGAGAGCTTGCTAAAATGTATAGCAGTAAAGATTCATGTACGTATTGAGTAAATATCTGAAAAATATCATTTTACACCCAATCAAATGGGCGTATAATGGTTCCTGCGAGTTGATTCGGGGTTTGCACCTCGAATGAAGCTCGGGAGTTGTGCTGCATGTCGAAAAAATCGTTGAACTGTCGGTCTGCAAGGAGTGTGGCTGCTTGGGTCTGTTTTCTGTTTTTATACTCATATAGTTTCCATAATGTCCGAACATGTTATTGTCATTGGAGGCATTCTCCGCTAAAACTGTCTTGGTGTACCAGCAGAATCAATAGTTCTACTAACAGAAGCTTATGTTCTACCAAGCACTTTCAACTGAACAGGTGACTGAATCACTGATGTTTATTTCTAGTAGTTTTCGCTACGTAATTTTTTTTTTATTGTTAGCCAAGTTGAAGACGATTTAGTTACGTTGAAAGCAAAATCCATTTTGCTTTCAACGAAATTGGAAACCCACCTGTAAGGCTCTCCTAGGGCGACATCAGCAGTCCCAGCTGCGCCTTCAAAACGACATGCAAAGCGCGGCGACCGCAGGCTGACACGTTGCTCAAGGTACTCACGTACGGCACTGCAAGTCTCTCTTCCCAATGTTGTAAAATACATTGGTAAGTGAATGACTCTATCCTGCAGCCTCACAGACGCTCCAAATGCACCGACAAGATCGCTAACATTTGAGACAAAATGGTCCTTTCGAATTATTTGGTAGTCGCGTCTAAAGCTGACCTATCAATTTTTTGTCATCGGATATTAGACATCCTGAAGCAAACAATAGCTCAAAATTAGCTAATCTTTCGATTGCTGTGCTTAAATCGCGATCTAATTACGGGACACTTCTAGTATACGTATCACCCATCCCTTTTACGCAACCTTGAAGAAAAACCCAGAATCCAATCATCATGTTGGGCGCTTCGGTTCCGCGTCCGCTCAGTGCGCGTAAGGGTCTGCGGAACGACCTGGGCGCCAACAACTGCTTCCTGAACGTGATCATCCAGAGCCTATGGCACGTGCGAAGCTGCCGTGTGCTCATATCCATGGGCGACCACGCCGTGCACCACCGCTGCGGCGGCAAACCCACGAACGCCAGCTCAATGCGAACAGAGACCATCACTCCTTGTCTATTGTGCGAATTGGAGCAGATTTTCATCATGTACCAGTTCGCTGAGCAGCCCGTGCTGGACGTAGACCGCGCACGACTCGCACTGGGCGAAACGTTCGCTCTTGGGGCCATGAATGACGCCACAGAGACGCTGGAAACGATTCTAGACGCCCTGCACTACGACACATTTAATCGGATGCTACTATTACGGCGCAGAGGTTCCTCCGCCGCTATTGACGGGATCCACAAGGCCGAGGAGATGTCTGAATCCGTGCGGGAGGATGCGTCCGCCATCATCTGTGAGCCCCAGTGCGTCGCTCACAGATTGTTCCAAATGAACCTCATGGAGCTCAAGATCTGTGCCTCCTGTGGCCACACAGCCGAGCCTGTCATGAATACAGACTTCCTCTATAGAGTGTACGCCCAGGAACTGCTCAATAACGCACGGGCGGGTGGAGATAAGAAGAATGTGACACTGGAGGAAGTTCTGAGAGCTGAAGCGCAGTCACAAGAGGTGGCTGGGACCTGTGACGAGTGTGAGAAAGGGAACCAAAGGGCACTGAGCAGGTGGATCCTCACCCTACCGATGGTGTTCTCTATCAGTATCATTTGGTCCAGTAGTCACGTGAACAAGACGGATATTAAGGACTGGATGCAGCTCTTGTCGACCCAGTGTCAGACAGACGAGGATTCCCAGCAAGCACTGGATCTAGGACGGATATTCAGACTGGATAGCTCGACCGAAGTGTCGTCGGTGTACTCGTTCAGAGGACTCGTGTGCTACTATGGACGCCACTATGTGGGATTCTTCGCCAGTAGGCTGAATGAGGACGGGGTGGAGAAGGAACGCTGGTTCTTGTTTGACGATACGCGCGTAAAACTTGTGGGCATGTGGGCGGATGTTAAACTGCGTATTGAACGCGGAGGATACCAGCCGACACTGCTGTTCTACGAACGCAATGGTATCGAACATGAAAACCTCGAGAAGATCGCAACAGAGATCCACAAGTGGTGGGAAGCGTCCGCGGATGAACCGGACAAAACCAATAAAGATGAAACAACAGAGAAAAAGCCTGCAAATACGATGGTTAAGAACCGCAAAGGTGCTCCACACGAAGTGGAACTCGGTCTTGAGGACGAGTTGCTAGCGAAGATGGAGCGAAGTGTCCGTATTACGCAGGAACATCCACTCCCGCCGTTAGTCCAGGCAGGTCCAAGAACGATGCCGACTAGCCCAATTTCGTTGCCTCCCCGAGCTCCAAAGTCAATGCCCGTGCAGAAGGGAACGCAAGCGAATGGATGGCGCGACGAGGATATCCATTTACACATTGCACACCAATCTGCGCAGGATACGCTGTCGAGACTCAATGGGATTCTGTCAAAGGATAAAGCCCCAGCATCGACTCCAGTTGATGGGAGAGCGGTGCTACGCATGGCGATGTCTCAATCTATGCGGAATTCTGTTCGTCTACGTGACTATTCTATTCATCGTCCCACAGAAAAGCATATGGAAGTGAATCCCGACAAGATCTTTGAAGACGACACACCTGCGATTGCAGAGGAGCAAGACACGATAGCGTCTGATGAAACAACGACAGAAATCTCCGAAGCTCGGCTGAAGATATTTGACGTGCGTCTCAATGCTTCGGATGGAGGTATCGGCTTGCTGCTGGAAGAGTCTACAAATGATGATGACTCGTCACCGTCGACGGACTTCAAGAAAGCGTTTATCGTGTCGGGTTTCGAGGTTAATGGTGCAGGCGAGAAGCTACCAGCTGAAGCTAGCGGCGCCATTCGCGAGGGAGATATTCTCGTGGGCATTAATGGCCATATGCTGGAGAATGAAGAACTAGTGGACGTGTTGGAGATGTTGCTGATGTCACCAAATCCGGTGCAGCTCAAGTTTTATCGCTTCCAGCCATGGGCGTGTCCTCGCTGCACGCTGTTAAACAACACAATTGATCCAACTTGTGCGGCTTGCGGCCACGCACCAGCGGTGCAAAAACTAGGCAGCATTGATACCGACAAATGGTAAAACATCGTGAACGTGACCCTCGTGTGAAGCCGAAGCCAATGGTAAGTGCAGCTGTATTGTCGGCCTGCTGATCAGTACTGAGCTAGGTATCACAAACACCTGCCACTGTAACTTAGCTTGTTACTTTGTTCTCTAGCTACTTGCTGCAAATGGCCCCTTCAAACAGCACATTCTCGATCTCTTGATTGTAGAACGAAATTTTGGATTCCCATCCGTCTGCCGTCGCTTTTAAGTACAATGGCCACCGTTGCAGAGCGATCGGGTCACAACACTTTGACGATGAGATGTGGCTCTCAATGATGGCCGTCTCCTGGCCGGAAGATAGCAGACTGCCAGCTCTTACGACTGTAGCCATCGTCTCGCTAAATCGCACGCTCGACGTCCAGTGCTCTTCTGTAGTAGGCTCTATAATCGTACGGCTGATGAACACTGTGCGGTTCTTTTCGACGTATTTGCGGGAAACTCGCCGCTCCAAAACATACGAGGCTAAGCCAATTCCTGTGCAGGTGAACCCAACACGGCTTATGCAGGTATTGGTAGTCTGCTGGGTGTCCTGTCAGTACAAGCGAACGGTTAGTTTTTCTTTGGAAAGATAACCACTATAGACATCTCAAGTATCCTGGTTACCTGCCAGCAGACACGCTTCCCCTTGCGGCCTTTTGAGCCTTGCAGGAACGTCCAGACAGCATTTGCAGTTCTGTCAACGCTGAAGGGGACCAGGTTCTTGTCCCTAAACTCTAGAAAAGGTGTGCCGTCAGCAGCATTAGTGTGAACGAGTCGCTTGCGTCCGGGACATGGCACCGCGCTCATCGCTTTCTCCTCATAAAGCTTGTCCAGACCAGCGTAAACGTTATCCAGTCCATGGAGAAGTTCTGCAAAAAGATGTTCGTTGTCCAAATTCTGACGCTTCGCCTTCGCGTTACGCAGATTTCTCAATAACTAAGAGACACATTGTGTAAGCGTTGGTCAGATACCAAAGGTACGACAAAGCAGAGTAGAACAGCGGCTTACCTCGTCATCTTTTCGCCGATGCACCATGCGCCTGAAGTTGCGTATCGTACGACTCTGCAACATCTTTAACTCCCTCAGCTTGGCGTTCTCATTTTCTGCTTTGCGTCGCAACTTCAGCTGCCGAGAAGCTACACTCTTCCACGTGATCGAACTAGCCGCGCAAGTAGTAAGTGAGGATGGAAAGGAATCCACGAACAATACAGTCCGAAGATTCTGTAAGTTTTGTGAGAGCTCCGTGACTTTCTTACGGAGAACTTGAATCTGCTCTTTGCGCGAAATTCGTCGCTTTTGGACCAGGGAACGCGACGAGGCAGCAGGAGGCTGACGTGGACTTGACTTAATGCGCGGTGGGAAATTTGGACGCGGAGACACCGCAACAATCTCATCCAGAACACCAGCATCCGTACTCACAAGTTCAGGGAGCCAGTCGAAATGCATTTCTTCATTGTTGACAAGCTCGGCGTCCAGGTGCTCTTCAGTGTCCATTGAACCAGCAGAAGCATCAGAGTTACCGGGGTTTTCACGTGCCAAATCCGAGATATCAAGCGAGTGAGTGCGCTTCAACGCAGGGTTTGACCTGGTACAAAGAGGAGAACTAGCAGACTCCTTGTTGCGTGGCGAGCCTTCAGCGTACTCGTGTGCTGCACCGTCGGTTCCAAGTGTTTCTTCTTCAACCATGGTGTGTGGAATCCTAGATGCGAGTTGAAAAATGACAACGTGATAGTGAATAGTGGGTGTCTATTCCTTGACAGATTTTTCTCGCTGATTACCCTTCAGTTTTTCCGAGTTTAGCAGCATAATCATTTCGAACTTTACAGTAATAATGCATATGGAGGTATTCAGGTAGAGAGTCCTATGCAGGGATGGGCTCATCCGCGCAAGTTATCCATTTTCATGTGGACCCCCTGGACACCACAGATTAATCTTCACGTTGGGATTGCAGTGGGCCTGTTCACACTGCCCGGATCCAGCCTAGTGTATGCACATCCACTCCCGGCATGGTATCCAGGAGCTACTCCGGGCATACAAATTAGTATATACGTACCGGCTACCCCCAAAATATACAACCTGAACTTTGAAATTCGTCATACATGATGGCATTGAGGGCAGCGGTGTGAACTAACACGGTTGACAAATATATATTACCTTGCAGGCAAAGGTTGAACGTTGAATGCTCAGACTAAAATTTAGCGTTTAACAGCCCAGACTAAAACTTAGTCCAAACTAATTATACTTTTTGTAAGGCGCGTCACTAACTAGTTTTCGGCTGCCAATTTCTAGACCTAGACTAAAGGATCCTAAAAGTATACGCTTGAATGCAAGAATGTCCTGAAAATTTCGTACCAGGTTTGGCATTTGGGCAATATGGTGGACCTAAATGATATCACTACGACGGGATAACAGATTTCTCAAGGTTCATTGATGGAAAGTTTAACTGTAGTGTTATAGCAGGTGGACTCTAAGGTTGGGAAGTTTACGGTCAGGCTTTGATTGGATGGCCCTGATCACGGCTTTTACGTATAATACTGGGAATGTAATCTGACAATTTTCTCTCTGTTTACTACAAAGACGGTCCTTGTCGATATTTTCCTTACAATTGGCTCTCATTTAACCACTAGGATATTTATCTTTCAGGATAATGTTTTTTTTCAATATTCTATTCAACAGTATGGGTTGTTGATTATGCGTCGATCCTGGAAAAACTTCAATGTAATCACGTGCCGACCGCAATTATCATATGCAATGGGCATTCTTTCTGATCATTGCTCACCGCTGCTAACGAATGCATGTAAAAATGACCGCGCCTTTGCCACTGGTCTTCCACGGTTCAATTTGTATCCCACGCTGCGCACACCCAGGAAGAAATGAAAAGGAGCAATGCTCAAGTGTTCCGGTGGAACGTCGACCAACAGAGGACCAGTTGTTGCTGTCTCTCGTACCGAGACAAAACCGGTGCTATACTGTTGTCTCTCGCTCAATAAAATGCTCGACTCGGAAGGCGCCGGACTCTGTAACGTTTGTTGCACCAATGACCGGTGCGGAGTTTCAGGATCAAAATACGGTTCAATATGAAGACTTCTACTTTATTCCCCCTTGGAGTTGTGAATGCAGGAGGCGGCCAACTTGACGAGATTGCGAAAATGCCATTTCTCTCGAGTCTAATTCCCCTATTGTCCCGCTCACTGAGACACAAGGGAGCGTATTCGCGAACGCAACAGATTCAAGATCTCCGACGCATGGTCACGAAGCTGACAAACGAAGTGAAAGCCTTGATATTCTCAGTCAGGGCGACCTACGAATGATCTGCTCCGACTCGTGTGCCTCTTCTTTCGGTGTGGAAGTGTTTTGCTTCTCGGCAACTGAAGCTTCGTCAAAAAGCAGCAGAAGAAAACGTCAAACTCGAGGATTTGATGGTCTCGCAAAAGCATATAGCGCGCAACATCAGGTGCATGGTCCGACGGCGAGAAAGAGCGAGGGTTGGTCGTCGTAGTTATATCTCTTTCATGGATGCATTCGGTAATCGATGATTTTATGGTAAAAGATGCTTCTGCAGCCATTGAGAGAGCAACGAAGCGTGAAGCGAGCTAAGATGGAAACAACGAGCAACTATTTGCCGAACTGCTAATATCTTTATGTCGATCTGGGCTGGCTTTACGAGGTTAAAGAGCTTAAGTCGGTGCATTTCCCCGGCCTGAGCTACGAATGTATCCTGATACAACTGACGGCACCACTTATGTGAAGATCAATGTTAATAATTTTGTCTTGTTCAGTATGGACAAAGTTTAATGTGTCGTCTTGAAATTTTTGCGAGGTATGAGAATCCCTGATGGAGACCGTGTGTGCTTACAGGTAATTACGAGGTCTATATGTCTATAGTGGCTGTCTTC